CGCCTCAAATTTCACTGAGTCTAAGCAAACAACTAATGTAGTATTATGAATTTTATCAATGAAATATCTTCGCAAAAAATTAAACCTAAAACTTTTTAATCAAGATAATATTTTTTTTATAAAATACAAAAGAATGAGATATGTCGATACTAATGTTAAATTTGAACATTTATAATATTTAATAAATTTTTATAAAATAAGAAATTAATTTAATCATCATGTCATTTAATATTATTTTTATGATTATGTATATTAAATTTTATATTTAAATATTTATAGACATATTATCTAAATTTTGATATTTATTTATATTTAAAAATATATTACGTGTTAAAATAAAGTAATAAAATATTAATTACTTTTATTTTTTATAAAATTAATTTATATATTAAGAACTCTCAGTAATTGATTAATATTTTATTTATAAATATTTAAATTTAGTATAAACAAATCCTAACTTTATATAAAATTACGTTCAAATAAAAACAATGATTTATTTAAAAAATAGAAATTATAAATATGATTTTCTTATAAATTATTTTAAATAGTTAAAAAAATATATTTAAGTTTTTAAAAGAAACTTCCGTCATTTGGAAAAGAAAATGGGAAGACAAAACTCCGGGGTTGTAATAAATGGCATTCGTGCATGTGTTTGTTTCGTGCTTCCTTTTTGTAAAGTTCAATTATTTCACATAAAGTAGCTATCATATGATTTTTTATCGACAGAGACTTGCAATCCATCGTGATGACATTTTGTAAACTAAAAGCTACATATTATTTAATTTCCATGAATTAAAATCATTAAAAAATATTTATTTACTGACAATTAAAGATTCTTAAATGTTAGCATTTCTTTCATTAGTATATATTTTTTAAACAAATATCAAATTGTTAGTATAAATTTTAAAAATCTATATTAACATTATGATATATTACATTATTATTTAATATATTATAATATTGAACAACTTTAAGAATATTATTACAGGTTGAAACAATAAGAAAAGAGAATAAAGCATGTGACAGTGGCCTAATCTTGAAGTATAAACTCGTTAAATAGAAGTCACAACTATATTAGGAAGGAAAAAAAAACTTGAAGTTAAAAATTAAAAAAAGAAATAAAGGCTAAACAAAAAAGAAAATAGACCTATGTCGTATGCTATCTAAAAAGTTAAAAAAAATATATACACACTAGTCCAGATAATTAAAAAACAAAACATATAATATAAGACTAAACTTGAAATACAAGCTTAATTAAACTAAATGTTAAATGTAAGCCAGCTGAATCAAAATTAGTTAGACTTAGAGTAAAGTATTAGATAATAAAATTTTATGTTAGTATATTAGTATTAAATTAAAAGATATATAATTAAGTGAATTATGAATTCAAATTGTTAAAAATAGTTTAGATAAATATATCACTCAAACTCAAAATTTAATTATTTTCACCTTCTTGATTGAGTTCGTAGTTATATTCTAATAAGATAAGAGAGTTTGGTTTAAGAAAAAAATTACAGTCCAAAAATTAAAATAAATTGAAGGATACAAAAAAAAATGTCAAGGGCAAATGACTAAAAAAAATATACTTAAAACATCTAAAAAAAGAAGACATAATCATGGGCAACAATAAGAGAAAACAAGAAGGCCTAAACTTTAACTACGAGTATAGGTTAAAAGTTGAATTCAAGTCTCAACTGGATTAAAGTTAACTACTCTTAAGAGAAAATGTTAAATAATAAAATATGACATTGATAAAATTAGTTACAAGTTAAAAAGGAGAAGTGTAGAGTCAAAATTGTCAAAACTTTTTTAAACAAATAGGCTTCACAAACCTAAAGCACATACATTAATAAAATTCTAAATACACTACTTGTTAATGATAACATTTTGTTAGTAAATATAAGACCTTTTCATATTTAGTAAGCAATTATTCATGCTTCATCATATTTAGTAATTCTATCAATACCATATGCATATATTAATCAAAGGTTTAATTAAAGACAAAATGTTTAAAATTGAAACCAAATTAATGTCTATTCTATTTGTGGAAAATAAAATTGAAAACTCAATCATTTGTGTGAATCAATTCCACAGATAATTCATTAGATTATAAGATCGATAATTAAAATTTACAAATGGGTGGGACCTAAACAACCGAAGGAATGGTAGAAGTTCTGTTCCCATCCATTTTCAATTTGAATCCATCGAGGAATAAATTAAGAGATCAAAGTAAAGAAAAATAAACTACAATGTACTAAGAAAAAGCTAGATTAGGTTAAGTCATACGAGGTAGTAGATAGACATGCACGTGTGCATTCCTACAATGTTCTGTTTATATGTGCCTGAGTCTAAACTATGCTTATCTTATTACAATTAATATACAAAAAAAAATTAGTATTAGTAAAATATAGTCACAATTGACAAATAGAATTATATTACAACAAAAAGAAATATATAATTAAAATGAAATAAATAAAATAAAATAATAAATTATCAAATTACTAATTTTATCATGAAAAGAAAAAGAAATTACCTATCACCAACGTCTATTTTGATGTCGTTGATCTCACTTTTGCTAATTGAAATATATTTGAGTGGACCAAGATTAAAATATAAAATAAAATTTAAAATTATCAGTTTCTCGATATTTTAAATAAAATTATCGTATTTTCTTTCATGTCCAAGTCAATAGATTGTTAATATTGTAAAATGGTTGTCCTTGATGTAAATAATTAATAAAAGATTAAAGAAAGGTAAAGCATTTGTCCTGGAACGAGACAAGCCGAATGCATAAAGTTCAAGCTTGAGAAAAAAAATTAACTCATTTATTTAAATGAGTTAAATTTGTTTATAATTTGAAAATTTTGAATAAAAATTTTAAACAATGATTATAAAATTTGAAGCTTGAATCTCAAATCTCACTCATTTACTTATTATAATTTGTTTTTTTTATAATTTTTGAATCATTATTTTATTTAGATTATAATGAATATTTTAGAAAAAAAATATTGCAATAAATAACACTTCAACTCACCTTAAATTATATATGAATTACCATAGGATTAACTTCCTACATATGATGCATAGGGTTCATGAAAAAACATGAATGGAAATTTAATTGTCCCACCAAAATTTCATAATAAAGAACCTTCGAGCCAAATCTCATATAAAATCATATGCCAAAAATAATTTGAAAGATGTTTTAGTTATTACTTAATATTTAAAGCATGTTTGATTTCATTTTTAAAAATAAAAAGCTATTTAAAAAAATTAAACCTACTCTTAAACTTTATACTTAACTTCGTTATTATATTTTATTTTTTATTCTTTTTAAGAAATCAAATATCATTCAATGGACACGTGATCACTATTGGTTAATTTTTTATCCACAGGGCACCCAATCTTATTTGCATAAAGAATGACAGTAATATATTTATCATGAATCTCGCAACCTATAAATTTTTTAAAAATTTAAACTGCAAAATCATATATTAAGAGAACTCATATCTTACGACATGAAATAATTGACTACTTATTGGGAAAGAAATTTATGGACCTGCCACAATAAGATAATAAAGTTTATTAACTAAATTTTCAGTTTAATTAGTAACTTTATGATGTCCATCTTGTGTATGAGTTTCATTCTTGGAATAATTAAGAGAGTGTTTGTTTTCCATTTTAAAAACAGTTTTGTAATAGTTAAAAAAAAAGTAGTTTTTTGTTGAATAGCAAAAAAAAAAAAAAACAGTTTCTGTTTTTAAAAACAAAATTCAATACAATTTTGTATTATATTTTATTTTTAAAAATAAAAAACTGTTTTTAAAACACTAATCAAACATACCTTTTTAATTTTCAACATGCCAACCTCAGAGAGAAGATAAGAACATATTTCAAATTTTCAATTAGGAGAAAAAATATTTTCTCCTTTTCCTACAACTGATTTTATCTTTATAGGAATATGTTAAAGGATAAAAGTCCGTTATTCTGAAATTTGAATTTGTAGATTTGGAAATTAACAATTGACAAGGAGTGGGTTGTGGTTAATGGTGATAAATTCTAATAAATAATTGCCCTTTGCCCCCAAACGGATAGATATTTGAGACAACTACACAAAATGTGAGTATAAATAGGTTTATATTCACTAAATTAATTAGGCTAGCAATTAGAATGTAGTACAATATAACGTGAAAAGTCTAAAAATACCTTAAACGCTTATTTTTCATTTCCTCACTAATTATCCTTACAAGTGAATGAAAAGTGTCCAAATCCAATTTCAAATTATAGTTGAGAATTAAGTGATTCGAACATTAAATTTGGAAGAAAAAAGAATGCAACTTTTTTATATATTAGATGCTTTCGGACTTGTATTTTTTTTTCAACTTATTAGCTTTTGTCCAGTGTGTTTAGCTAGAAAAATTCTAGAATGCTTTTAAGAAAAACGAAAAAGAGCAATTAATTTATATGATATATTTATTATTTAAAAAATTCAAATGAAATAAAGAAGTGTTTTCTCATTTAAACTACTCTTTTTATATATATTTTTTTCTAAATATTTGTTTTCCTTCCTAGATCATGGCATATGTTAGTGGTCAACATAGATCATTGCACCTAAAGAAAGGATTAAGTACCACAGGATGCAGCCACTCCGAACCGTAACCCTGGGCCCATCCCTCACCACCTCCCCCAATCAATTCCTTTTCTAAAACTAAAATCAAATATGCTTGTAACCAAGGTTGTAAAAGAAACAATCTATAACCATGCCCAAAATAAAAACACTTCATCTCTAGAATAATTTAGACAGATTCTAATTATATATGAAAATTATTAAAAATTATAATTTTCAACATATATTTTATAATTAATTATAATATATTAAACGATGTCAAAATAAAATATGATTCACATATATAAAATCTATTCCTAAAGTCATTGACACATCCACCCTTTGCATTCCTCCCTATCCCCATGCCCTATATATACTATCTGCAACTCACACCTTTATACTCTGTAATTCTCTGTTTCTCTCTCTCTGGACTCCATATTATCCTTCTTAATCTCCATCTTCTCCCAAACAGTAACTAAAACTTCAAACTGAGAGAGTGAGAGCCAAATATATAAATAAACGCCCCCTTCCTACTCTCAGTTAACTAAACTAACCGTTTTTCTTTCTTTCCATTTTTGGGAACCGAAAGATGATAAGCTGGAAAGACCTGTACACGGTCCTAACCGCAGTGGTGCCTCTGTACGTGGCGATGATACTCGCATACGGTTCGGTCCGGTGGTGGAAGATCTTCACACCGGACCAATGCTCAGGCATAAACCGGTTCGTTGCAATATTTGCAGTTCCACTCCTTTCCTTCCACTTCATCTCCACCAACAACCCCTACGCCATGAACTTCCGCTTCATCGCCGCAGACACGCTACAGAAAGTCATCATGCTCTTCGCACTCGCTCTCTGGACCAACTTCACCAAAAACGGTTCCCTCGAATGGACCATCACCGTCTTCTCCCTCTCCACATTACCCAACACCTTAGTCATGGGAATTCCTCTCTTAATCGCCATGTACGGCGAATATTCCGGAACCCTCATGGTTCAAATCGTCGTTCTTCAATGCATCATTTGGTACACGCTTCTTCTCTTCCTCTTCGAGTACCGCGCCGCCAAGCTTTTGATCTTGGAACAGTTCCCCGAAACGGCGGCTTCCATTGTGTCGTTTAAAGTGGACTCCGACGTCGTTTCGTTAGACGGAAGAGACTTTCTTGAGACCGACGCTGAAGTTGGCGATGACGGAAAACTTCACGTCACCGTTAGGAAGTCCAACGCGTCGCGACGGTCGTTTATGATGACCCCTCGGCCGTCTAATCTCACCGGCGCGGAGATTTACAGCCTCAGCTCCTCGCATAACCCAACGCCACGTGGCTCCAATTTTAACCATGCTGATTTCTTCTCCATGATGGGGTACCAGCCCAGACACTCCAATTTCACCGCTAATGACTTATATTCCTCGCGTGGACCCACTCCCAGACCTTCCAATTTCGAAGAACCCTCAATGCCCCAGTCACAGCCGGTGACCTTAGCTTCTCCCAGGTTCGGGTTTTACCCGGCCCAAACTGTGCCTGCTTCGTACCCGCCTCCCAACCCGGAGTTCTCCAAAACCGTGAAAAATCAAAATCAAAATCAAACCCAAACCCAAAACTTGCAGGTACAACAGCAGCAGGTTCAGGTTCAGGTTCCGTTGGGTAATAGCAAGGGTGCTCACGATGCTAAAGAGCTTCACATGTTCGTGTGGAGCTCAAGCGCTTCGCCGGTTTCGGAAAGTGCGGGTCTCAACGTGTTCGGTAGCACCGACCTCGGAAACTCCGAACAATCCGACCGGGGTGCAAAGGAGATTAGGATGATAGTGCCTGATGAACACACTCAAAATGGAGAGACCAATAACAAAGGTACCAATAATTACACACATAAATTATATTTAACGGTAATTTTTTACGTTTTTATAAGATAAAGTACTAAATACTATGTGACAATAATGTAATTTCTATTTTATAATTTTTGTTTGTGTAATGATGAAATTTGATTTAAGATTATGATTATGTGATGATGAGGTGTGATTGTGTAATGATTGGGTTAAATTGAAGGTGATTTAGAGAAAGGGGTTGGTGGGGAAGGGTTCAAGTTCCCGGGAAAGGGGGGAGAACAAGCTGAGGATGAGAATGAGAATGAGAAAGAGAAAGAGAAAGAGGGGCCCAATGGGCTTAACAAATTGGGCTCCAGCTCCACGGCGGAGCTCCACCCGAAAGCTGCCGGAGCGGTTGAGTCTGCCGGCGCCGTAAAACACATGCCACCGGCGAGTGTCATGACCCGTCTCATACTCATCATGGTTTGGAGGAAGCTTATTCGTAATCCCAACACATACTCCAGCCTCATTGGTGTCATATGGTCCCTCGTTGCCTTTAGGTAGGTAAATAAATCAAAGCATACGCTAACACTAACACTAGATAAGAATTAATTTTTTAAAAATTTAAATATATTTTTAATTTTTATGTTTTTAAATTTAATGCCTTTAGTCTCTTTTACTAATACAATTCAACCAAAAAAAAAAATAGCATGTAACAATTCCTTAATCATGTTATCAACGGGCATTAAAGTGTTAACCTTTTTTAAATAGAAATTAAAATTATTTTTGTAGAAAATTTAAAGTAAATATTTATAAAAATATATTTAAAGTAAATTTTCATTAAAGTATGATAATAAATTCTTAATACACTTTTAGTTTTACTTTTAATAAATTATTATTTATATTATTCTTGATAAATGTGATATGGTCAACTACAGAACAAGACTCATAAATCAAAGACAACAACGTACGAAAGAAAAAAAAAATAGAATATGGTAATGGCAACATGAGCAGTGGCTAGTTTCGTTTTTTCAGTTTTGGTTAATAGAGTAATGTAATTATTATTAGTTATTGACACATGGTGTTGTTCATGGTAACGATGACGTACAGGTGGCACGTGCATATGCCCAAAATAATAGAGAAATCAATTTCCATACTGTCTGATGCTGGTCTTGGAATGGCTATGTTCAGCTTAGGTGAGTGGTCGCCAATCCAGTTCTACAAATTCATACTCTCACGCAATAATTTCATTCTTTTATCTTCACAAATTGCATCCTCTTTCGCATAAATAAACATCATTATTTTAGTGGCTCCCGTTTTTGGTGTAGATGTGTATTTCCTTAGACTAAGAAAATTGTATGTGTGTATCTATTTAGCGTTTTTCTATTTTTTTTCTTTTTTTAATATTTCTAACCAAATTGTAGGAACGATGAGAAAATAGTAATATAATATATGATATTGCTTTTTCTAAATTATGTTAATAGCCATAGAACAAAATTACATAAAATAAATTGTGCAGCTCCCCATAATTGAATAATGGGTCTGAATCAATGAAAAGCATGGATTTGGGGCAAAGCAAGTATTAAACAAGTCATAGCCATCCATTCCCGTGATGTTAGTTAACGAGTAATGACCAAATGATCTTGTTCACTTGTTGAGCATAATGCCTCCGACATGTGGGGTCGGGTCATGAACTAGGTCACTTTGCGGTGGACAATGGTGGTGGTGAGGGGTACCATTTTGGATAATTAGACGATGGTGGTTGAATTGGACGAATCACCAAGTACTATATAGTTTTCTTTTAATTTTTCTTTCTGGTTTCCGTGTCTCTTTTCAAAGAATTATGCTTTTGGAATATAAACATTGATGCCCTTTGTTTTATGTCTTTCTTAATGCACTTGAGTGAAAGATTGTGTTTGATATTTGTATTTTAGGTCTGTTTATGGCACTTCAGCCCAAGATAATTGCATGTGGAAACTCTGTTGCTGCATTTGCCATGGCTATTAGATTCCTCACTGGCCCAGCTGTTATGGCCGCAGCTTCCATTGCAGTTGGCCTCCGTGGCACCCTCCTACATGTGGCCATTGTTCAGGTTACATATCAACTTCAAATTCTTATGCAATTTTTTAATCTAAACAAATTCTTATAACGATAAAAATTAAATTGACTAGTAGTTATAATTTTAGGGTCTAATTTAGTATACCATTTTTTAAAATCGTAATTATGGTTGCAGTGGTAAGTTTAATTAGCAAAACTATGAAAAAATACGAGTTGTGTAGCTATACTGCAACTGTTGACCGCAATTTAAAACCATGATAGAGATGTTGAATACTTGTCAATTTTAATATCTTTACATTTTTTTTTGTTTTTTTAGTTATATTTTACTCATTATCAACATGAAATTCTTATCAATTATCAAAATATTTTAGGAATGGGTTGTGGCCAAAGATGGTCTAATTAATTTTCATTTTCCTTTTTTATGGGTATCTGTCTAAAGTTTTTATAATCCTTATTGGCAAAAATTAACAATAAAAAAGGAAAAAGACAAGTTGTTAACTTTTGGAAATGTTGTGGTCGAAAATAGGCTGCACTTCCTCAAGGGATCGTTCCATTTGTGTTTGCTAAGGAGTACAATGTTCATCCAGCCATTCTTAGTACAGCGTAAGCAATCAAACCTCTTTATTTTCTTCGTCACTTTCTTGTTACTTTAAAGAAACAAATTGACCCTTTTACAAATAAATTGAATTGCAGGGTTATATTTGGCATGTTGATAGCCCTTCCCATTACTCTAGTCTATTACATACTCCTTGGTTTGTAAAGGAAAATTTAAGCGAATCATTTCAACCTTTGATGCTTTGGAAGCTAGTAACATGCATGGAGACCACAGTGACTTACTCTATCACTCGAGGATTTTCGCAAAAATTATCCCTGACTAGTAATTTCACAGCAGAGGATGTCATTCCAAGTTTCAAAATTTTGGGAACTTTATAAATTGTGAGATATTGGCCAAATCCTCATTTGTAATTTTAATGCCTCCTATGTTTGGTTCATTTTATTTTGGAAAATAATCGCTTATTTCTTTTATTTTTTTTAGATTTTTTTTAAAAAATAAGCGATTATTTTTTTAAAAATAAAGTGAATCAACATGCTGTAAAAGTGTGATAATGCAATTTTCAAGAATCTCGAAGAGGGAGGATAACAGTGTATGGGAGACATTACAGAGGAAAGCTAGCGTAAGCCAAGTCCTTGATATCTATAAATGATTCCCTCTATCAGCATTTGTAAATTTTATGAGAAAATCCGGTTTCAAGTTAAAAAGACAGTGCAGTAGTTGGGCGGAGGAAATTAAATTAATGAAAAATACGACGAAGCCTTTTTTTTCTTCTCCTCTTTTCCTTATTTTTATTATATTAATTTATTACTTATATATATATTTAATATAAAAATTATTAGTTTAATTATTTAATACTATGAATATTCATGAAATATAGTATTTTTTCTATCTCCAAAAAATAATATCTTTAGCTATTTTAAAAATAATAGTTCTTTTATAATTTTAAGACAACTATTTTTTTCTTTGATTTTTATTCTTAAAATATCCAAAATTTATTTTTTGTTATAAAAATTAAAGTATATATATAATTTAGTGAGACAAGTAATGAACTAATATTTAGTCAAAACTATTATTGATCAATACTTTCGTCAATAGAAAATTACCATTTATATTTCACATTTATTAAAAAACTAATATAACCTTTATTTAATAAAAATTGAATTATTAATATAAATATTATAAATTGACATTAATAGTATGTTATATTATATGAAAATTAATAAATTAATACATACCATTAAAACATCGAGTATTATCAGTATAATGTATCATTTTATTAATATAAATCTGATATATTTATATTAACACTTCAATTTTTATCAAATAAAAGTTATATTTATGGAGACAATTAATTATAATACTTACCGCTCTTTTGATTGATAATTTCCAAAGTATTAACATAGCATGAATGATCAACCTTTAGCCAGACCCAAAAAAATCAATTAATTAAAATATACACAGGTTGGACTAAACACCACTCATTACAATGAAATTTTTTTTTCTAAGGTTTATATAAATAGTATACACTTTTAAAACCAATCCATAAATAGATACGATTCAATTATGTATGTCCACAAAAACATGTTCAAAACTTTATTATAACTTCAAAATGATAAGAATTATATTTAAGTCAATTTAATATATTTACGTAAGATATACTGAAAAATTAAACTAAATAAATGATGTGATAATTAAAATATATATATATATATATATAAAGCATTAACATTGCTACACCAAAGTCTCCCGACTTCAATTAATAACTTGTATGAATGGCAGGGAACACACGCACAACAAACTAGCTTTGCAGTTCTCTCTTTATCAGCTCCATAAATTGAGAAGAACCCTTCATCCTCTACCTTTCTCCCTTCCCCAGCAAAATAGTGAATCTCAATCCAACATTATATTCATTTCTTTGTTCTTCGGTTGAAGTCAGAATTTTAATTAAGAAAATATTAATAAGTATAGGTACTAATAAAAAAATCAAATTTGAAATGAAAAGTTCTTATATGTGAAAAAATATTATCTTATTGATTATTTTTAATGACAAAACGTTTTCTTTGATTATTTAACTTGATAGCATAAATCTTATTTTGTGATTTTAATATAATAAATATTTTATTTTTTAGTAAAAATATCAATAATTTTTTTATAGTCTTTGGTCCATTCCCATTGAGGGGTTTTGCTTTGAGTAGATAGGAAGGAGGGCATGGGTTGGACAAAGAGTGAGTAAATAAGGCAGAGACCAACATGCTCCGCCGTGAAAGCGATGGCTGCTGCTGCATCACGACACCCCAAAACGCCGTGGCTACCTTCTATCTATAGTGAATGCTTTACACTTTCACATGCCTTTGTTTCAATCACATAAACATCATCCTATGTGCCCACTCCATTCTCATCCTCACGTGTGGTTCTGCTTCTCACTTAGTCTTTTTATTTTTATTCTATGAAAACCAATAAATAATCATATATACTCTAAGCCATGCTTCCCTTAAATTTTGGTCATGGTTGGACCAACCATATATCAATCCAAAGCAGCATATATGCATTTCTTTATGTCTATCTTTTGTAGCATTCATTGTGATTGCGACCTTAGGTTTGTATTTAATTCATATATCCTTCATGCTTTTGACAATTGATTAGCGCCTGATTATGATTACTAAATAGTATGATAGAATGCTTTTATAATATATTCTTAAATTTTATAAAATTTAAAAATGATTATGCAATATGTTTCTAAATAAAAATTTATTCTTTATTAAGCGTGGAGGTTGCAATATTTATTGATGGTTTCATTAGTTTAAAGATATATGTATGAACGACCCACATGAGATTCCAGAAAGACTCAATATTTTAATTGTGTGAGAATCTTTTACTCATAACAGAAACATATGCTGAGAGACATCGAGTGGGGTTACCTACGTGTCAATGGCAACAAATTAATTCAGCTAGTTTTCAAATATTTTAATTAAAGTTGAACTAATTATAAATGAGTAGGTTTGTTTTTAATTTATTAGTTTTGAAAAATACTTTTTATTTAAAAAAATTAGAAGATAGTTCATATTATTTAGTTCAAATGCCAACCAAGGTAAAGATATGTGAGGACTTCATCAACCAATGACCTATAAGTATATAAGTGCTTTTTAAACCTTAACACATGGTTTGGATAAGATGTAGGTGAAAGGAAAGAAATTCATCAGAGATTTTGTATAGAAAAAACAAATGTTTTGTTTTTTTAGTGAAAGGAAAGAAAATAAACTTGTGAGAGTGGGATTTACAATAATTTTTTTTCTTTTTAATTCATACTTGTGTAAGTATATTCCTTCATTTTTTAAATTAAGGATGTTGATTTAATTTTATAGATTTGATCTATTAATAAAATTTATAGTTTAAATAAAATGTTATTAAATGTATCATTTTATTAAATTTAACTCTTAATATTATTTAATTTTAACATATACAAAGAAAAGAACTAACATTAGTATCAATTATACTCATTCACATAATTTTTTATCAAATAATTTTATCATAAAACCTATATTAAATTTTTTCATCATATAAATTATACATACAAGATTTTAGATTAGCTTTACTGTAAACGAGTATTTCAAAATATTTAATTTAGTTTTTTATATTGTTACCGGGTAACAATAAAATGGCCTTAAAAAAAAGCAATCAAATGGATTGAAATTAATTTGCTTTTGTTTATTTCATTCAGATGTTTATCAAGTGAATTTTAAATTTTAAATACATTTGAATATAATTGATTTAAATTAAATGATATTCAGTGAAAATTACTATACATACAAATTGACATGGTTATAATTGTTTCTTATCATAAAATTTTATTTAAATTATTTAAATACCATTCATTTCTATTAGTTGTTATTTATTTAATTATGCATATCTTAAACATGTGTGTAACATTTATGTCTTACGATTAACATATATTATTTATTTGGATAACTTTTTTTATAATTACTTATAAAAAATAATCATTTTATGTTTAGATTGTAAAATTATTTAAATATTATATCCTTATATTTCATAGAATTTGTGATAATAAAACATTTACTCATTATTCACACAAGAAGATATATCGATTCATTTAACCTAAGAGTGATTAATCAAATCATTTATTATTATAAGTATCTTTTAAAATGTACTATAAATTGAAGGTATATAATTTATTTATTATTAATTTTGATGAATTAATTAATTATTTTTTATTTAAAAAAATCGAAAAGGAATATAAGAGTGGATGCAATTCAATTGCCACTGACGCTGAAAAGATAACCATTATAACTAAGAAATAAGTTTCATAGCAAGTGAGAAAAGATGTGGTATTGAATTTTACTTGGAAAACATTTGGTAGATATTTGATAGGAATGTAGATATCTAAAGAGGATATATATAGGAAAAGAAATGTGATATGCGATATACTGTAATACAAAAAAATTAAGAAGAGATGAATAATATTAAATGGATTATAAAACACTATATTCAGTATATATAAATTAAATTTGATTCAAAATTTACCAACTAATACGAAGGAATTCAAAACAGAATACTATGAATTTTTGTTGTGTAATTGATGAAAATTTAGCAAGAAAACCTTATCAAACTGGAAATTTCCCGTGTTTTAAACTACCATCTGTAACTTTCGTTGAAGTTTGCATAGAGGCATGGACTCAATATAAGTTACAGGGCCAATTGGTATACATATACACAAACACACACATAGCAGAGTTTTAGTAGTAAAGTATAATAATGATCATGGTGTGTGTAGATAGTGTACACGTGGCAAAAGCGATACTATGGGGTCCATGCTCATGTGGATGCCCATACTGGGTTCATGTGGGTGCTGGGACTGTGTAATGTTGGATGCCAGAAATGCATGGAGTGGTTTATATTATTGCATGGAAGCAAAAGAGCATGAGAAAGAAAGTAAAAGAGAAGCTTGGAAAGGATTAGGTTCCAACTAAGGTAGGGACTACGAGAATGAAGTTGAGCAAAATCAAGTTGTGGACTTCGAAGTTACTCATCTAGAAACTTTCACCCTTTTGATTAGAAAAAGAATAAATGGACCCCGAATTTGATATTATTCAATCACTGATCATACGCATTAAGGTCCTACCATAATGTTGACACTATTTGAAGATAAAGTCATCCCCACATTGCATTTTTGTAATGTTATAACTGTATAGTAATGAATATATTCCTCACCCCGAAATTCACAATACTTGAAACAGAGTTTAGCCTAATTTTATTTTATTTGTTTGCTATGTATCGTGAGTTGTTTAATGTATTATATGCAATGACTAGCTTTGTAAGTTATATTGTTTTTTGATAGTGGTATATATGGTAACCTGAGTCATATTTTTTGAATTTCAATATTTTATTAGAAAACCAAATCTAGCTAGTATATATAATCTTCTTCTTTTTCTAACTGATAATAAAAGTGAAATCCGATTGCACCATGTCTTTGTAACTTGAGACTATTGCAACTATACATATATCAGCATGCATATTCTATATATGTGTTTCTTCTCGTTTATTTTCGTTTATATTTTGTTATTTTTCTGTTTATCTTCAACATTCTGAGGACCCGTATTACATCAGAAGCCACAAAAAACACTAGCTAAACTACAATGAGAACATGCTTGATATATTTCCCACTGTCACGCGATGTAGACTTCAGATCATATTGTCGATCCGAATGGCTAACCTTCTGCATGCAAGTGGTTCCATATGAGAAACTTTGATTAATATTTTTCATCATGAATTATCAATATTAAAATATATAAATTATGAAATTTTTTGAATGACTACGCGACTTCTCATGTTTGCTTCTCTAATTTTCATATAAAAAGACTTTTTTAGCTAAAGCTTTTTTTGTGTGTGAAATTGAGAGAAAAATTTTTAATTGTTAAATCTCATTATAAATAGTTATAATTAAAACATTTAAGCCATCATCTGTTTATATAACCATAACTATCCCTATATAATTATTCATTTTAGATTTATGTCTTCCTCTTTCATCTAAAATGATTTCTCTTACCCTCTCATGGATATATACACCCCTTATATATATCACTCATGCATGCACTAACAATTAACATAGCAAAATGTTTCTTCAACCACCAAAAAAGTTGATGGTGAAAAGCAAACGATTGATTGAAACGGGTATATTATATAGATGGTAATACATTGCATGTATGCTAAAATTAATTATTGGTGGTCAAGAAGAAATGCAAGATACACATATGGTGCTACCCTCGTGTGCGTGGCCTTATCTTATGGAGCATATGTTGCGGGCCAACATACTAATTCCAATGGGTCCAATGAAAGTACAGTAAGAATTTTTGCACCCATAATACCAAAATACAATACAAGTATCTGTACACTAATAAAATTTAAGGCTCTTTGAATTTATTCAGGTGAAAAGAAAATGTATGTGCGTATTTTTCAAGTAACATCGTTTTCTGTATAAGATTTATATAGTGGGGTGGATATTAAATTTTTTGAACAAGTGGGGATTTGGACCAAAAAATAATTCAAAACCGTGGTTCAGATGAGAGTAAATACATCCTAACAAAACCTAATCAAAGTAGAGGGAAAATGAGAGGGAGAGAGGTCATGATCTTTGTAGGGTGAACCACGGACATAAGCCAGATGGGTGGACCATTGAAGGCTGGGACCATTTAAGGGGTGGTGGGTTGAGTTTGACAAAGGACAATGAAAAAGGTTTAAAGGGAAGAAAGTTCCTTTTATACAAACCATGACTCTCTCTCTCTCTCTCTCTCTCTCTCTATATATATATATATATATATATATATATATATATGAACTTGTATTTCTAATTTTTATTTTCATAAACAATAATCAAGCATTTTTATCTTAATAATTCCCTACGTATATGTATGTATACTTTACAATTATATTTAGTTTTGATTAAAATATTGAACCCCCATTCAGGTCTATAATTTAATTTGTGTGATTCTTGACAGTATATATGAAAAGCTTTCGTAAGATACAGCTAGCTAGGTAGGTAGATTGTAGTAGAATATTTGATAGTTTATTTAGTGCAGAAAATGAAGTTGTTTGATGATCTTTCTTGGCAAAATAGTTTTGGGAACTAAAAGTAAGAGATTATGGTTGGCTGCATAACTTGAATCCATGATGGTAGGTCCACTTGGTACAGAACCGTAAGCTTATCATGAAAATTAAGTGTGCACCGAAATACCTGCTAACATGTCTCACAAAAATACTAGTCTGTAACTATCAGCATGCATGTTCTTTTCTGGTCCCCTTTTTTCAATTAAATTCAGCACTTCATATCCTTTGTTTGTACGTGTGCATATCCCCTCTTTTAATTTAGCTGCACATTTATCGTCCTTGTTTGTGAGACTATTTTATTTCAATTGAGAATATTTGTCATATAATACTAATAATTATTTTTTTACTACAAACTTTATTCTAATTAATATCTTGATTATTGTATTTATACAATAATTCTTGCTTATTTTCCATGCAATGATTTCCTTACACTAAAATAATTTTTTCATCCATCATCAAATAATTCTGTAAAATATGAATCTATAAAAATTATGAAACACAATAATTAATTGAAAATGAAAATGTACTTTTTCCTATAAGCTACCGGACTTGAGTATCTCCTTTATTTCCCTTTTTTCGGCCCCTCTTTTGTTATAAAATTATGACATCAACAATAATTGTTGATATTACAAGAAATGCTATAACTTAAAATGTGTTCCATCTCAGCACATCCAAACTAAACCCAATATGACTTGACTCACGTAGCAAAGTTTCAAGGACAATTAGAAAAAGGAAAAAATAAAATAAAATAAAATAAAACTCACCATTAGAGCAACCCAAACAAGAGCAACAAAAGCATATAAGTACTCCTTCTTATTTTTTAAAAGTTCCTTCACAAAATTACAAAAATAAGCGATTCTTTTTTCAAAATAAGCTGAACTAAATATGTACTAAATCAACTAATAAAAATGAATTAACTAAAAGAAAACATAACGTTGTAAACAAATTAACGATGTACCATAACTTATATAATAAACGGAGTTGTATATATTATGAAGAGTAAATCCCTAATTTGCCTTTGAAAATATCAATAGTGAATATTTTCAAAGATCTGAATCAGCATGCACACGAATAGTCGAATATGGTGAAATTAAGACTCACTATTTTTTTTTTTTGTCTAACCATTGCTTAAAAACACTTAAAAATTGAACACCACTAAATCATAAAGTTCTAAAACACTACAAAATTAAAACCACTAAAAAATCTGAAGAAATCACAACATCTTCTCGCAAATGAACCATGAGAGTTCTAGCCACAAAATGTAAGAAAACTTTGTTAGGCTTTCTTTTTTTGGTCCAATATGTATGCCTATGTTTTGGTCAATAAGTATGAAACAGTAGATGTTAGGCTTAATGACTATGGCATAAAACAACTACTGGGCTCCCATGAATTTGCCAACTATTACAAGCCTTTGTTTTTACAACGGCCCATTCTTTTCCTACCTCCTCTTTTTTTTTCTCTTTGTACGCTCCATAACTATTTATTTTTTTGTTACTTCTGAAAATTAACAAAATTGTAACTAGGTCTTGAAAGTAAATTGTAACTTATTTTCAAAAATAATTTTAAAAAGATAGTTTAATACATATTAAAAATTTAATTTTCCGAAAAGTGATTCATAAACCACTTCCAAAATTTAATTTCTGGAAGAGTTTAAAAAGAAAATCCCTTTTAAAACACATAACAAATTTGGGCTCTGTTTTCCTTTAGCCCATTACAAAATCGCATTAGTGCCTCTCTCCAAAACGACAGAACCGTTCGTAGCACAGCTCTCTCCAGTAGCAGTGGATGTGGATGAGACGACAAGAACAAACGAGCGAGGGCAAGAAAGCAGCGTCCCTTGGATAGTTCGAAACTTAGGTAATGATTCCTTTCATCCCTTCAAGTCACTTATACTTTGAATTTTTTTTTTATTTTTTTGCTTTGTTCTTTTTATCCATTTTATATTCTATGCTATAGAATTAGTGTTCCCGTGTGTTAATGTAGTTGGTTTCTTTTGGGGTTTGTGAATTTTGTTGTTGGATGCTGACAATGTGTGTTTAGACTATAATTTTGCCTATTTTATTCATTTCAAAGGGCACTTGCTCCTTTTATTTCTTTTTTTTTTCTGTGTTTATGGGCTACACTTCTTGAGGACTTCGTTTATAATCAGATATTGAAGACAAAATGTGCTAATTGCAGGTATTTTATTTTGATTTGGGATGGATTATATCCATTTCAATCTTATTTGAACCCCTAATTGGTGTTTGTTGGTTTTTCTGTAATGATTATTTTCCTCTATTTCTATGTGCTATTGGTTATTGAGGTTGCCAAGTTCAAGGGTGGCTGCATTTTTATTATTTTGGAAATTATTGAAGAAAATAATGCAGATTGCTGGATATTTGTCATTATGTCTTTTGTTGCATGTGTACTACTTTGATGGGTAGCGTTTTAATTTTTCAATTTTCAACTTAAGCAATCTGAATTGAAGCTTGATTTTGTTAAATGCTAGATTGTAATGTTTGAAATTTGGGGTAGCTGATCTGCTTGATGAAAATGAACACTGCTCAAGTTACTGCATGCCAGACGGCGATTTGTGTGAAAAATATTTATCAGGTGCACAGGCTGCATCTGAAACCGTGTGTTTTACCAAAGAGTATTGATCCTTACACTCGCGTTGTGTTGAGCCTGAGAGGAGAACAATCATTTGGCTTGAAATGTCGGCCCGTTTCACAAGCTCGGAAACCTCTCTATATTTGTTTAGCTGGTGAAAAAGAAATGATGGGAAATAGTGATGAGGTATTGAACCTTCTGTTGAGTTGCAATTTGGTATGCTGTTGTTATTGTTGCAATTTAGTATGAAATGATAGAAAGTAATGTATGAGATTTGGGCTACCTAATCTTTTTGACAAAGACAGAACTCCCGCCCGAGCTACTGTTGCGCCTTAGATTTTTGTTCTGTTGCACCATCTTCTTTATAAACTGTGTGCATCTAGGAGAAGGATGGTGCATCCAGAAAATATGGCTTAAATTTAATGATCTCTTTTTACATTCTAACTTAAATTGGGGACCCCTTGATTTTTCTATTATTGCAGTTTAGTCCCCTTAGGAAATCTTGAACCTAAGCTGCAGGAATCTGTGATTTACTAAAAAATATACTCAGCAGTAGTGCAAACAGCTGGAATAGAATAGTCTGGAAGCAGCTCTTTTATTTTCAGTACCACTCAAGCACAAAAATGTCACTACTGTCTATCATGAATCTCTGTGTGAAGAAATTTTTTAGTTATATATATTTCGGTCCCTACATAATATTAACATTATAATTGTACTTGTAATCAGAATTCCCCATGGAAATCTATTGAGAAAGCTATGGAAAAATTTAAGGGACAATCAATAGAGGATGTATTACGGAAGCAAATTGAGAAAGGTGAATATTATGACAGTGGTGGTGGCAGTGGAGTGAAACCACCAGGAGGAGGTGGTGGCAGTGGAGGCAGTCCTGATGACTCTGATGGATCAGAAGATGAAAGCTTGTCTGGGATGTGGGAAGAGAATGTCCAAGCGCTTTTAGCAGCCTTTGGCTTTATATTTCTGGTACCCTCTGTGTGTGTGTGTGTGTGTGTGTGTGTGTGTGTGTGTGCGCTCGAATGTGTGAGTATTTGCACTAATAAGTATCAAATCTTCATTCATTGAAACCCTTAAGCATATTTTATTTTGTTTGTGAAAATGTGAATCTTGAAAACTGGAAGGAGAAAGGTTCAAGTGGAGCTCCTAAACACAAACATAGGTATAAAGTAAATTAATGATAAAAGTAGCTAATTGCTTAAATAATTAAAGTGCATGAAGCTTTTGAGTTTGGACATGATTAGTAGTATTGGATAGTACATAGGGTATCCTTCATTTCTTAATTATCAGGCTCTACATATCTTTTTTCTCAGTACATTTATATCCTCACTGGCGAAGAAATCACTAAGCTAGCTAGAGACTATATAAAGTATCTTTTTGGCGGAAGTCCGAGTATTCGGCTGAAGAATGCCATGGCTAAATGGCAAGAAATCTACGAGCTCTTTACAACGAAGGAAGAGGAGGAGGACGAGTATTGGTTGGAGAAGACCATTCTGAATACCCGAACTTGGTTTGACGACCCTGCCTATTACCGTGAAACTGTTAGGAATTACTTGAAATCACATCCAGAAGCGGTCGTTGCCATTCGGGATGAATTTGACTTAGATTCAGATGAAGAGGTTCTGGAGTGCTTGGAATCAGATTCTGATTCAGATTCAGATTCAGAATCAGATGAAGAGTAATTTTTCTAAGTTTTTGGAGCACATCCTCAATTGCACTCTCTTTAATCTGTTTTACCCTCAAGTTTAATGAAGCTTTGTACACATTGTATCATGCTGTTTTTAGTGTTCTTCCCTCTCTTGCATTTGTTTTTCCCTCAAGATTAATGGAACCAAGACAGCAATTTAGGCCTTCACATGAACTGAAGCTGTTTCTCTTTAAATATTTGGAGCCCATTTAGTATATCATTCTTTGTGCTAGATTTTTTCACGATAAACCACCACTTGTTTAGTACTTGCCCGACCCTTGTAAACTATTTAAATTGCATCAATTTTTATAATTAAGATGGCAATTAGTATTCATATGTCTAATACAGGACGACAGTTTACTAAACATGATGATTGGGTACAAGTTATATGACTCAAGAAATTTAGTGATTCTTATGAGCTGATTAGATTCTTTTGAGTATTTATTTTTATGATTTTTTTAACTTGCACATGTAAACGATAAGAATTTATGTATAGTAAATTTTTATTAAAATAAAAAAATTTAACGCAATTTGATGCATTGATACTGTTAAATACTAAACTTTTAAATAAAAATGTATTATATTTAGCTTCTTATCATGTGTTTACACAGGTTATTTTTAAGAATATGTTTGGGTATATAACTTAATTATTTCTTTAATAGATTTTTTTAATATGAGAATTTATGTCATAAATTTAATTATAAAATTTATTAGAGTTAAATTAAAATAACTTATTTTAATAAATTATATTACCAAGTTGGATTGAAATGAGCTTAAAAAAAGTTATTAGTTGAGATTCTAATTCGTTTAGTACAGTGGTGTATCTGTGGTAAATAACCAGGCCAAGTATTTAAGGTATGATATTAAAAGATGTTTTCCTTGTATATTATATATTAGCTTGATAATATTGAAATCTTTGGTCATCTTTGAGTGATGATGTGCGTTTTAATGGTTGCAAACAATCAAATTTCAGATTTTTGTTGTTCATTAATGTTTTTATTAGAAAGAAATTATAACAAATAATATAGTTCATTAGTTTTTATTGAAAATAGTTAGACATGTGAAAAGACAGGGTATCAATAGTCTTCCCTCCTCTTAAAATCGTGTCTCCAAAATTAGATAAACATTATATATCTTTCTCATCTCTGCTTACATAGCTTTTTTATGGAGTCAATCCTTCTCAAATCACTTTGACTAATGAAATGGTCATAGCTCTCTCAATTCCTTTACTTACATTTGCATCAATATATCGATTATGCTTGTGTAGTTAAATCATCTTTTATTGGAGTGACTTCTCATCTATGACATGTGAACATATATTTTGAATTAAGAAATATGGAAAACGTGAAGAGGAACAAACAAGTTGGATGGTCATGCAAGCCGATAAACAATTGGCCTCACTTTTTTCAAGATATTGAAAAGGACCCATTCTAAGCTACTACATTCTTATTTTTAAGTGTAACCAATTCAAGTTGTAAGAATAACCTTCAAGAAAAATATGATTTTTTTACTCAAATGATTGAAGTTATTTTTATTGGGATATTTTTATTTTTATTTTTCTATTCTGAACGGTTAATAACTTATCCTTAATTATTTATATTTATCATAGAGGTTTTTGAATTAAGTAAAATATTAATAATTCATTTTTTTTCTAATACTAACAAATTGAAAGTTAAATTTGAAATAAGATAAAATAGAGAGCAAAACTTTTCTTTTCACCTTTATCTCACACTACGTAACTTGTTTAATTATTCTTTCACCACCTCTACAAAGATTATTATTATCATTGTGACATTCATTATTGATATTATCATTGTTATAATAATAATTATTATCACATGTATTACTTTTGTTATTAGCATCTTCATTTTAATTATTATTATTTGTGCGATAAATATTATTTTTATTTTATCGCTTTTTTAAGGATAAGTTTATCATTTAACTATCTAGTGTCCATTAAATATAATTAAGGGGTTATCATCGTTGTTAAGACTTACGGGTTGAAACCTGTTTCAACATCGACGTTTGCTCCACAATGGAAATCAAGGATATTGAGAGGGGTCAGAAAAATTGCTTGGAGTAGCTGATACAAGGATTGTCTACCAATTAACTTTGGACTTCTAGAACCATTATAACTCCTACTATTGTGTTATGAAATTAATTTATTTCATAATGTTACATGACAATTATTGAAATAAATGTTTTAAATTTATCCTAATGTTCCTGTTAAGAATACTATGTCTTCAATAATTAATTTTGGCCCTAATTAAAAAGGAAAAAAAAGGTCTCAGTCCACATATACAACTTTCGGCAGAATTTTATATGTTTTCAAAACAAAAATTATTCACACTTGTAAGTATATGCAGGTGAAAATTAACTATGTGTAGAAGTACTTTTGTGTTCATAAAAGCTTCACAGATTTAATTAAATGAGTTTTTCTTTACATGTTTATTAATGGGATGAGATAGGTATTGAGAGTACTTGTGCTTGTGAGTTTCCATATTCATTTAACTTATTAAAATGTTCTATGTATAAAAATGTTAATTTGGTTAATTTGGTTATTATTGTTGTAATAAACTAATACGTTATTTTGAATATCTATTAAATCACGACTTTATTCATTTTTTATTTCGTTTTTCATGCACCCTGTTAATCTATTTCTCCTAGGCTACAGATATATGTATAGATATATAATAAAAATGAGTTAGAGCAAACTAATTAAACATTAATTACAAGTTTCTCACATAAAAAATGTTTCTACAATGACAATTCTTTAAGGCAGCTGATTGTCTCCAAAATTTTAGGTATGTATCTCTTGATACTTTTGAGCATCCCGTAGAGTCATAATTTGTCATTCAACTCATTTAAAAGTCCAGTAAATATTTATATTAGCTCAATTCATTGAATTAAATTTCTAAGGTGGCACTCATAACGGGTGTTAAATGATTGTACTTAGCTTTGCAATGATAGGTGATAATAGTTGTAGCTGAATGATCAATGCGAAACTTGAGAAAGAATCTTGAGAGGTAGATGCTGAGCTACGTGCACCAGTTGGCTTTGACTACTATTGCTGAATTCTATTAGAAGACTCTCATCAAGTGAGATTTAGAGATGGTAGATGTACACAGTTTGAGCCTTTATATAGGTTAATACATTGAATTTAGTTGGAGGAAAATAGCTAGTAGAGAGAGTAGATGAAATATTTTTATAAGACACATTTGAAGGGAAGAAGAAGGAAAATGTGTACAACTATACCTAAGAAAGTAGCCTCAAGACGGTTCGATAATGTCAAAAAAGTTTAAACCATTATAATGAATGTTTACTTATTAGGACAAGGTGAGTGTACATACAAAGATAATTTCAAAGCTCTATGGTTAGTCATGGAGCTATAAAAGATAAGTAGAAGTAAAAAGATGCTCACATAAAAATAGCTATGATGTGGGTATATAGGTATATAAAGCCAATTAATAAATAGGTCTCTTAAACCATTGTCGTTACCAAACATATTATAATAGGAGGTTAATTCTAAAAAGTTAAATTTGACCTAGCATGAGTTTAATGATTTTCTTTGTGTATTAGAAGAGTATAACAGTATGTTAATATATTTGATCTGGATCATTTTCAGTTTAATCTTCAGTTTATTTTTCGCTTAAGTGAGAAATTATAGCAGTGACGATAAAAAAAGAAGAAAGTAAAGAGTTGAGTATAAAGAATATCATTAAGTAAATTTTGAATCAGCAAATAAGATAGGAACAGAATGTCTTAGGCGCAATCACTTTTGATTAGCCCAGCACCAGAATAACATCATCAAGAGATAGTAACAGAATATCACAACCGACTAAATTTATTTTAAATGTTTGAAACTGCATCTGTCAGTTTAAGTAACTGACTTGGTCAAGTTGTTGTTGACAAGAATAGAAAAAACCTATTTACAGTTACAGTGAAACGAAAATATATTGCTATATATATTGAGCAACTTGCTGTACATAACATTCCACAACAAAACACTTCTCCTTTTCACGAACATTCTGTTTGCTGTGATCCTTTCATATTCAAAGAGTTGGACGCAAAGGATTAAACACAAATGATGTTCCTTTATCATCCTTGTCGAAGGGAAGATCTTAAACTTCTTGGATTATCAAGGTAATTTTCATACTCGAATTTTTTGTCGTTATTATATTACAAGCTTGCATAATTTAAACACAAATAAAATTCAATTTTTCACTCTATTTTGATTTAGAACATGTTTTGCTCTCAGATCTACACTCAAGTATGCACTTATTCACACTTTTCACGTTTTATTTTATTAGAAACTAGTCAAAGTCAAGACATTATTATATTACTTTCATTTTGAATGAATGCAAACAAACTTGGAGACCAAGTATAGCAACATCAACGAGAAATTCATTATTTTGGATCTTATAAAAAGCAAGTGAACTTGATTCACAGACATCGATCATCAACAATTTATAATACAACATATCCAATTCAGAAGTATTAAGTTTGAGTGCTACTACATATTTCCCTGTTTCAACTTGGTAAAATCATGTACCATTAATTTTTTTTTGCATAAATTCTATATTCCGTGATTATATTGCAGACCCAAGATGGATCATAAGGACAAGAAGAATAGATCGTTTTCCTCTAGAGTTAGATCCTTCGTAGTGTGCATCTTTGGTGGAAATGTGAAGACACGTAAACGTGCAGCACCTAGTGGGCCTGTGAAGATGGGTCATAAGGACAAGGAGAATAGCTCTTTTTTCTTTAAAGTTAGATCCTTAGCAGTGTGCATTTTTGGTGGAAATGTTAAGGCAAAGTAAAAGTGCAGCACCTGCACCTGGTGGGCCTGCAGCCACCATGGTTGCTGCGTCAAAGCATTTCTCTTCACCACACAAAGTGCGGTTTGGTTAATTTAGTTGTTTACTTCTTGCTGCCATTCAATCTTTCATGTTTTTTGGTTATTGGATAGGTGAATTCTTGCAAATCCCTTCCCTGAAATAATCGAATATGATAATTTTTCATCATTCAATTTGAGTTTGGAGCAAACATTTCAATTGAAGAAATGCATTTAAATGGTAAGTTGCAATGTCATTTTAAGCGTGAAAAGTGTGCATTTATAATAAATGTATAATTGCATACATAACATCTCAGTTATTCTAATGTTGATGAATTGTCGTTAATTTTAAATGTTTTTAAGTCTTTCGTCTCATATTTTGTTCAATAGAACATAAAAATTTAATAAAAGTAACGTGAGATGGGATTTTAACTTAAAGAGAATTGGTAAAGAAAACTTGTCTAAAACTAAGAAATTAAAAATTTATAAAATGTGACAATAGGTTTTTATCTTTATTTAAATGTTTATCTAATTTATTATTATTATATAAAATTTACTTATAAAAAACGTACACACAAACATGGCCGATGCAATATTCTATATGAAAAAACCAATCTCTTCGGCCTTTTTGGTGTTTAAGTAACAAAAACGATGCAGCGGCCTAAATGGGCCCAAAATTGCAAAATACCAGCATCGCTGGGCTCGTTATAATTATTTAATAATATTTGATTAGACTATTTTTTCAAACCTTCGTTTAAAAAGAAAGTTAAAAAACAAATTAAGTATAGCAGTTGTACCGTGAATGAGTGAAGGAGGCTAGGGGATAACATATATTTAAGTTGATCACACCTAACCTAAGAAGCATTATTACGATTTCCACAAAAATAAATAAATAACCAAAGATGTGTTATATAATTAACGAGCAAAAAGAACAAACGATGGACCCCACACGAAAAGGAAGCATTCTTTTGGCATAGTGGAAAGATGATAAAACAAACTTGCATAAGTGGCGGTCGGTGACATATGTGTAAAATGCATTCATCATAATCTATTCACAGGTTGTGACATTTCACCATTATTGAATTTTGTGACGTTGAATACTCCAATTGCTTAAATGCAGCTAACACACATTTCTGATAAGTCCCTTTTTTTTTAAGGGTAATTGTTCTTTCTATTAGTACTTTTTATCCACAATAAACTATATAATCAATTCAACTATTATATTAAACGTTCTTATTTATTGCCTATTATCATTTTAACTTATGGTATATGTTTTTTAAGATATAAATGTGTTATTTATAAAATTACATTATAAGGTTCAATCATTCATTTTTCAAAAATTTATTTTAAATAAAATTATCAAATAAAATAATTTTACCAAATTTACTATTCTCGCCTCTCTCGATCTATCTATATCCTTGTTCCACTAGACATCCCTTTTGGAACTAAGCGAAAAATTACGAAATTTTAATTTTTGTGGCAGAGAAAATCAATTACATATTAGATCAAATAACGGACGAAAGAGGGAGAAGCACTGCTAGCAAATTTTGCAGATAATTAGGAAAGGATGAGTGCAATTACTATTGTACAAATTGTAATCACAAATTAAAGGAAGAACGGAAGATTAATTAAAACAATATAATCATTGAGTCTGAAATTCTCCAGCCCCTTACCTTATTCAAGATCATGCTATTCTTAACTACAACCATAATCCATGAATATTCTTCTATGTCTGAATGATCTGAATCACTTAAATTTCTTCACATGCCAATCACCAAAAGGGCCAATAAAAGTGGCAAGAACAGAAGCAAACTGAAGTGGTGTCTGGGACGAGCTCTGTTGAAATTCTCAACAATAGGATACAAATTACCCGGTGGCCCAGTATTGTATATGTTGTATGACGGCGATGGCGGTGGATAATACCCTGATGGCGGTTTTTTGGGTGAAGGTGGCGGTGGATAATACACTGATGGTGGTTTATTGGGTGAAGGTGGCGGCGGTGAAAGATATATTAGTGGCGGCGGCGGGGATGGATATAGTATTGGCGGCGGCGGTGATGGATATAGTATTGGCGGCGGTGGTGATGGATATATTATTGGTGGAGGGGATGGTGTGTTACCACCACATGGGGCGCATTTCTCATTACCATTATTTGTGGTCTCGTCAAGCTTCCTTGAGTCAACATCTTTGATTGGGAGAGTAACAGAAATAAGCAAAAGGATCAAATTGAGGATAATTGGTGCTTTGATTTGACGGATTTTTATTGACATGGTGGGTTGAAGGGGTTGGACTTTGGAGAGAGGATTAGAGGAAGAGAATGAGGGATAGTGAATGATCTCTTACGTTATTAGGTGCATGGAAAATGTAAACAATGGGTAAAAGGGCCTTTTGGGATTGGGGTAATTTATTTGGTTTCAACGAGGGAGGGACACTTGCTCTTATGGTCCTTTCTAGGAGGGGTGGAATGGAATATAAACTTCCATTAGCATGTGCCCATTATGGGCTCCACCATGCTTACCAATCCTTAAGACCTCAATAATTAACACTAATCTAGGCCACTTGAAGGTTTCATTTTTTGATTCAGTTCCACTGTTCAATCTTATTAAGCCGTTTATAGTTGCAAAATTTTGGAGTGAACTAAACTCCATGGCTGCAACTTGATAAAGAGATGAGCAACAGCTATGACGCTAGGGAATCATACCCTCAAAAGATGATAAAGCAATTTCTTTCCTTTCTGAAAATGGATCCCAATTTTGCCAACTTTCTAATACATTCAATTTCTATTTTTTGTGAACCTTTTTCATATCTCACATGGGAAAACCTTCTCTGATGGGTGTTCTGCATGTTACCACATGATTTTCAGATCAAATAATATTAGCCAATCATTGACCATAGTATTATAAAATTCAAGAACTTTCCACAGTCTTTCATTTCAAAATTCGTTGCATCACTTCTCCCTTTCTTAGTAATATTCAACCGTATGTTATACGTTGGCACCATATTAAATATAAGAATGGTTAAGTTTATGTTTCTTTTTGTGGGTTAGAAAAATAGTCATAATATATTTTAATAAACAAAAATACACCTTTCAATATGAATTTATATTACGATTAATTTAGCACACGTACGTCGTAAAAAAATTGTGTTATCTTAAATACATATAATAGTACTCTTATAGTTTTAAAATTATTATTTTCATAATATCAAAAAAATTATTACTTTCATTAAACATTAACATTTAGTAGTCCATTAATTATTTTTTGTTCAGGATAATTCTGTAGTTACTTTTAGTAGCACGCAGTAATATTATTCAAATCATATTAAAGTAATTTTTTATATGAATAAAAATATACATTTATAAACGGAATTTTATTTCCAATAAAAATCAATGATATAATTTTATATCATGGTTCATTTATATTTTCAAGTAACATGATATGAATTTAAACTTTAAAGAACAAACAAATCGAAGCATCTACAATTATAAGTGTAATTAATTTTTAGTAATAATTTTTTACTTTTATAATTTTTAAATAAAAGACATTATTTCATTTAATATATTAATTTAACTTTATTGACAATTTAAAATTTGAATAATTTTTTGTCTACTCTTTTATTACGTAATATTATATTTAATATTTTGTCTTACAGGTATTTAGCAAAGGTTTGGTGTACTTTATGTTAGAAATATTTTCAAAATATTAATCGTTTTCTACACATCTTAAATCTAATAACTTATTAAAAATTAAAATTAAATGATTATCAGAAAAATGTTACCTTCATTATATTTTATAAAAATTTAAAATGATAAAAATTAAAATTAAATAAAAAGAAACACTTATGAGGCATTCTAATAATGCATACTCTTAGATTTTTATATTTAAAACAATTAATGTGGAAAGTCTTTGTGTCTCGAATTTATTAAAAGTTAATGCACTTTGTTTGCTACATTCTTATTAAAGAATTAAAAAGCTATAGAGAATTAAAAAAATAAAAGATTATAAGATTTGAAAAGTCAACAAATCAAATACTGAAACAAAAAATATATTTCATAAAATTTCATAACTTAAATTAAAAATTAAAAACGTGATATAATAATTTTAACATATTTTTTTATATATGAATATGGAACCTGTATGTAAATTACAAAAGCAGAAAAGGATAAAGGAGACAATGACAGGGGATAAGTTTTTATCAATTCAGAAGAACATCAAATGAGGTCCACAGAAATGTGTTTGGTTCTGCTATACTCACAATTAGGACATAAAATGAATGCCAAGTGTTATAGAAAATAGAGAAACACACCTTCAGTCAGTGCAATCTACATCTCTTATTTTGCTGACACCCAATGAGTCACTGCAATCTGTCATCACCTGTTATTGAAGCTTTTAGGTCATCCAAACTTGAGTATTGCATTTTCCAACTCTTGTCTTCAGAAACTTTGCCCTAAAGAAAACAAAAGTTAGCACAATGGTACCTTAGCAGCACCCACCGTCCCATCCCATTTTCGTAAGGCATCATCCTCGAATCCACTTTTGATCTTGTGGTACAACCTTTGATAAATACCATTGGAAGGTTCCTTTGATTTGCCAATGATCATCTTCTTTTCACAGTTATTCATAGATTATATTCACGTAAATATTATGAACATTTGCTTTTTGTCCCTTTGTTTCATAACTTAATTAATTAATTAGTGTCCCCCGACGAAGGTCACAATTTTATCTTTGACAAACTATTTTGAGGATATTGATATAAAATACCCACTAGCTATCAACACTTACTACCATTTTTGTTTGGTTAGTAGAATTTTTATTTGGTTCAAATGTTTTTAACATGCTTAATTAAAAAGAAAATGATCATTGTTGTTTGCGTCCTAGTCCATAGAAATATAGATGTTGTCTCCTTGTTATAATTTTTTTTCACGTAAAAAGAAATTGAAAAATAATGACTTATATATGTGTGAGGAGAGATAAAAGTAAATATATCTTAATATAAATCTTTATAAAATTAATAATATTATCTTCTCATTTTAAAAATAAACAAAATTTAAAAAAGACATTAGAGTAGCCTTTTCTTTTATCCTAAATCAATTTTATTTAATCTCTAGAGATAACCAGCTTAACAGACCCACAAACTACACTCCATTCTCACTTCGGAAATGTCTCTATTGCCGTTGCGATTTATATAATACAACTAATAATTTTTTTTTTCTTTGTATATTTCTCTTGGAGTTTGATCTAAATAAATTTATCTCGAATAAGATTTTTTATTTTTTATTTCTTAATTTTGCATGTTTCGTTCTTATTCTCTAATTGTGATAAATTCTAGCATTTAATCATGTGATAAATCTTAAAATAAAAAAAAATTAGTTACTTTTTTTTTCTTTTTTTTACAAATAAAAATTTAATATGGTGATAAATCTTATAATTTTAATTTTATGATAAAATTTAAAAATTAATAATTTAATTATTTTTATTCCTTTTTTTAAAATTCAATCTTGTAATAAATTATTAAAAAAATTACATAATAATAGTTTTTTATTCTTTATCTTTATTAACTAATAAAAATAAAATAAAATAAAATAAATTTTGTGATGACTGATGAATTCTAAAGTTGTGTGTAAATCATAAAATTGTGTGTTTAATATATATATATATATATATATATATATTATTTATTCTTTTAATTCAATTTTTTAAAATTGTGTCTCTTTATTTAAAAACATAAAAACTAAAAATTCTTATAAATTATAAAATTTAAAATAAAAATAAAAAGATAATAATAAATTTACAAATAAAAAATAAATTATTTTTTTAAAATAAAATAAATATTTCTAAAATTAAAATAATTTTATACAATTAATTATAAGATAATTATTCTAATAAATAAATAATTAAAAAAAGTATTCTAATTAGCAGACATCATAAGATAACTTTTTTATGACTCATTATTATTATTATTATTATTATTTCTACATATCACTATCCCGTCATGATTACAACAAATGATTATAAAAAATAATTAATTTAATATACAAAAATAAAAGTAACCTGATTAATTTAAATATTAATTTTATAAAACTGTATCAATAAAAATAATTAAAACAAATAATATTTAAAATATTAAATTAATTACTTTTCTTGGTTACTTTTTATTATTTTCTATTCTAATCTGATGATAAATCCTAAAAATATAATATTAAATAATCATACTTTAAATGGAAAAAAAAATTAAATGCTTACTTATTAATGAAAAAAAAAGGGTGATAAAATAGTCAGGAATTAAAAATAATAATCTCATCCGATAGCTAAAATTATTAATTAAGTTATATATTTTTTTTTTACTTTTAGTCATTTTTTAAATTAAAAATATTATTTTGGTAAAATCAATTATCAAATTAATTGATAAATAAAAAATGAAAAAGAAACATCTTTATATGTTTTCTTTATATAGTTTTTATTTTTATTTTGTAAACAAAATCATATTTTAAATGAAATATAGTTTAAATTTTTTAAGTTAATAATCTTATATTAGTTTTGAATATAAAAAGAGGATATGATTAAGGGTGGATATTATGGAAGTGGTTACACTATTGTAAAAAAAGACTTGCAGATGTGAGGGTGATATAAGTTATAAATTTAGACGTTGCTACAAGTGAAAAATACAATAAATTAACGAGATAAGTGTGTTTATTAAATAATTCTATTTTTGTCAAATAAATCTATAAATTAATTGTTAAATAAAATATAAATAAACTGAAATTACTTATGAATAACCTTTTAAAATGTTAACATATATAATTCGTCAGTAGTTTTTTTTTTTTAAGTGAATATTTTCTTCAAGTTCTAATATTTCTAAGGAATAATTTATGTCTAATTTTGGGTAACAATGAGCCACCTTCATCTTTTTTTTTTTGAGGTCAACTCAATATTTATTTTAATTCATTAAATTATAACAGTCTATTAGAATTTTATAAAACAACATTCATTCTAATATATTTTATATAAAAGAATAAAAATAAAATAAAAAACTTTTAAAGCATTAAAAATTAAATTAAAAATTGTTATAATTAAAAACTAATCTGAGGATTAATTCTTATTTTCACGTTGACATGATAAGAACGTCAATTTAAATATGACCCGTTAGACTGGCCGTATAACCCATTGAAAAACGGGTTAGGCGGATTCGGGTCGGGTTGATCGTGGGTTTGCCGAAACCTTTTTCAGTCTCAAACTCATGATTCCCTTTTTCTTCTCAGAATTTCCCTCAAGCACGCCTTCCACCTCCACACTGACGCTGCAGTCTCAACCTCTCTCTGCTTCTTCACTCTGGTACGCAAATCTCTCCGCTCTCCATTCAATTCATCTTTTTTATTTTTCGTTTTTTGCTTTTCCTAAACCTTCTAAGATCGAGGTCCGCAAATAATAAACAAAATCTTACGTTCTCTGCATTTCCCGTCATTGACGCAAGGTTCTCGTTATTTTTCCTGTTCTTTATTTTTGTTAAATTGATGAGAGCTGGATGCGTCGTGTTCCTGCGAGCTTATATTAGACTATTGCACAGTTGACAAAAAAGGCGCGCGGGAAAATGGAGTAGAGACTTAGGGTTTGCTTGATTTAGTTTTTGATTTTTAATTTTAAAAATTAGATTTTAAAACAATTTTATAAAACTGTTTTTAGAAAAATAAAATAAAATAAATTTTGTTTGATAACTTAGTTTTTAAAATTATTTTTAGTTAGACTTTTGTTAATTTTAGAAAAAAATAAAAAAATAAAAACAAAAACACCTTAAATAGCAATTCTGTTTTTTAGTTTTAAAAATTGAAAGTAAAAATTAATTTTTAAAATTTATATTAATAAGTAAGTTTTTTTATTTTTTAATTTTAAAAATTAAAAACTCTATTTAAAAAGTGAAAACAAACAAGCTCTTAGAGCTTTTAGTTGGTATAAACAAAAATGACTAGAGCTTTTAGTTGGTATAAACAAGACAAGGGTTTGCTTGTTTCTATTTGCCTGTGAATGATCACCATCTTATACACATGCCACAGACCATGTTAACTGGCCTCACCTCATATCAATTGTATTCTGGATTTTTTTTTTTTTTGTAACACTGTAATTCTGTTGTTTCTAATTTGTAGTAAATTTTAATTTTATTTTCATTTTTCATTCTCATGAAATGGACACTTCCAGTGATAATAGATAATATTTATTTTTTTAATGTTAATGATTTTTAATTTTTGTAAACTAATTTTTAAATGGGGTGCAGTTAGGCTGAGCCTATTGAATTACAGTGATGGAATATTTGAGATGGTAAGAAGAAGCTTAGCATTCTCATTTCTTGTAAGCAGTCAGAACCGAAGATGGAAAGCTGCGTGAGCAACAGTGATAGGAAGGAACAGTGGAGAGCAGAGGAAGCCATTGGTGGGAACGCGGAAGCTCTTCAAGCCCTCAGAGAACTCATCATATACCCTTTCCTCTTCTCTCAACAAGCCCGCAAACTTGGCCTTAAAGTTCATTTTCATTTCATTTCAATTTCATTTCCATTTCTTCCTCTCCTTCTTTCTAACCTTTTTCCCCTTTCATTTGCCTTTGCTTCATTGCAGTGGCCAAGAGGGTTGCTTCTCTACGGTCCACCGGGCACTGGAAAGGTACGCCACAATTCACAGGGTTGTTGAAATTTTTATTGTTTTGTTACTCATTCAGTCCTTATAACTTGTTTCTTTCCTTTTAAATATTTGTTAGAAATCCATGATCCTGCATGTTTGTTAGGTCCAATATACGGAGGGTTAAGAATAGTATCTTAGGGATTTTCCCCCAAATGAATCAACATAAGCTCTAGTTTAATTAGATCTCTCAGTTATAACCAATTTTTTAAAAATCGGACATGTGATTGAATAGGTGAAGACACTAGTTCAAGGATTAATGGTTGAACCGTGTTGAACTGGGGTTGGACAGGTGATAATTAAATAATATTTGTTAATATTATATAATAAATTAAATAACAAATTTATGTAAAATTATTAAAAAAATTTAGGTAAGCAAAATTTTAAGTTATTATAAAGGGATCGTGTTGCATTTTTTATTATATGAAAATTCATGATAAATAGTTAAAGAATAGCAATTTATATATCCATCGCATGCAATACTGTACATACTTAAGGCTTGAACATGTGAAGTTTAGTGAGAACAAGAAGTTCTTAGTTTATTTTTTCAGACAGGTTTAAGCAACAAGTTTAGTAAGCTACTATGCTAGTCCATCCTGTTAAGCCATGACTTTGGATATAGGGTTTTGGTTTGAGCTATAGAATAGTTTGTTCTGTTATGTTGACTCTTTAATTTATGTAGATTAAGTGGATAGAAGCAATGTAGCCTTATTTTTGGTTGAAAATTGCTTACTTAAAATTCATTCAAGTTTGTTGTATCTGTCTTTCCACATTAACATGTATTTTAATATAGATAGGATAATTATATGATGTCCTTGCATAGTGTGATCATATGAGTACCTTATATATTGCTTTGCTTACGAGATTTAAAATTAATTATATTTATGCTTGTTTGTGGATGTCATTGCAGACGAGTTTGGTACGAGCAGTAGTTCGGGAATGTGGTGCACATTTGACAATTATCAGGTACTTGTCTTTTGAATGTCAATCTTGACTTCGTTGATCTTGTGTTCCAAAGTTTTTCCATCTGAATCAATTGCTTGTCATTATTCGTCCTTTTTACGTATTTTGCAGTCCACACTCTGTCCTTAGAGCACATGCTGGTGAGAGTGAGAGAATTCTTCGTGAGGCCTTTTCAGAGGCAGCATCTCATGTAGCCTTGGGAAAGCCATCAGTTGTTTTTATTGATGAAATAGATGCACTCTGTGCTCGTCGAGATTCCAAGTATGGGACAGTTGATTACTTTAATGCTGAACAATTTTTTTTTTTCATCTTTCTTAGCTTTTGCTTCTTCTCATACTTCTTTATAATAGGAAAGATGAATATAGGTTGTAACACAATTTTTATAATTTTTTCATAGTAGATAAAATGCATAATGAAGAAAAATATCCCGTCTATGCACAATATATAGTTATTGACTTTGTTGGTTTTTATGGCACAAAAGTAAAAATAAAGAAAGAAAAATGCGTAGAATTGTGAAGGGAACGAATGAGCAATGAACACATATTTATTCAATAGTAATAGTACATTTATAATAATTTTAATTAGAAAGTAATTATGTAACTGAAAGATTTTTAACAAACTTAGATAACAAACTAAATTATTCCTAAGCATTGTTGACAAATGGCGGTGCCATGGCGGAAGGCGATGGTGGTGGCAGTTTCCATGCTCGTTGTTACAGGCATGGCATTTTCCGGTGGCGGCTGTTATGCATATGGTGGTAACAGCGGTTATGGCAGAAAAATGACAGTTTTTGAGTAGGAAAAATGAAACAAACATGGTTATTCCTTCATGTCAGATGCAAAGATTAATTGAAAGTAAAGATTTTGATTAATTTTTTAGTTAACTCTCCTGTTTGGACTTGTTGTGAAATCCATTCATGGATCTAATTTTGTGAAGACCAGTGAAAAACTATTTGAAATGTTTGATACTCTTATGGAGGAGAATGGAGAGGATAAAGTTGTACAAGTTATAACGAATAACAAAAATAATTATGTAAAAATACTGAAAAACGTACCTTGATAAAGAAGACAATTCATAGGAGAATATTTGTTGGCTTTATTCATAGTCATTCTAATACCTTAGTTTGTTGAAAAATTTTACAAATAAGAAGGAACTGGTGAGACATGCGGTTAATTGATTTGTAACTTCGCTTCATAAAAATAAATAAATCTTAGAAAGATGTTTACTTCTGAGGAGTGGTGCAAAAACAAGCTGTCAAGGGAATTTAAAGGAAAGCAAGCAATACAAGTTGTATTAAATTCGGTATTTTGAAATAATGTGGTTTACACTTTGAAATTACTTATTAATTAATATCCTAATCTAATAAGCTGAAACAACTAAAAACAACCGTAAACAATTACCAAAGCATATTAACACTTTGATCTTAGAAAGAATATATTTATAAATGCTGCATGCTTATTACACCATTTACTTTATATTGTTGACATGCAGACGGGAGCAAGATGTCCGAGTTGCCTCCCAACTCTTAACACTGATGGACTCAAATAAACCAACCTTTACAACAGGTGTAGTTGTGGTTGCATCAACTAACAGGTTAGTACCTATTGTATCTCAGAAGGTAATTTATGAATTTACAGAAACAGCAATTAAAGGGAATGAACATACCTTGATTCTTTAATTCAATTCAATTTTCACAACCTGTAATATTTTTATTTCTTGTCCACTTTCTAAACCTATGCACTATTATTAGAAATATATAGTGCAAGCTTAAAGTTTCATATTGTGTGGGTTTGAAGAAGTTATCATGCTGTATGCAAATTGTGTAACTTTGGCTGATTGTTACACTGTCAATCATTATTTGATGGTTGGCATAAGAATGTTTATCCATTAAGTGTTTTTGAGTTTTGTACTGCTGATGGATTAATAAGTGTTGTATTGATTTAAGCTGTTTTTCTGTATCTTGAGAGGTTATCAAGATCTGTGATTCTTTGATACCTTTGATTCTTGACTTTTGGATGATATCTGGAACATGTGATTTATCTTATATGCTTATGTGGTCTCTTAAAACCTTTCACTTTAATCATGTAATACAGGTCATTTTTTTAGCACTGCTTAAGAATGCTCACCAACACCTGATTTGTTGCATCTCTAAGTACTTTTGCTCAGTTGATTTTCATGTATCTGATTTCTGCATACAGAGTGGATGCAATTGACCCTGCCCTAAGAAGGTATGGACGTTTTGATGCTGAAATTGAAGTTACTGTCCCAAATGAAGAGGAGCGCTTTCAAATTCTGAAGGTAATTGTTATAAATATAAAATATCTGCACATCTCCACCTAACAGCTTTAGATTCTGAGATGATTTGATTCTTGAGATGATATCAAATTCAAAGCCTCTGTAATTAAATTGGGAGGAATTACAGCCTTCTTCTCTGCATTCTTCATAGTTAAGTCAAAATTTAGCACTCTATAAAGGGCAATTGTCATGTTATTTCATAACAAAAAAGCTTGTTTGTGAGGGGCATGCGTTGTATACATAAAACTACTCACCTCCACTCAGTAACTTGAGCGTTTAAGATGATTTGTTTCTTGACAGTAACATAACTTTTCAACTTGTTTGTGTAATGCTTTAGTGAGAAGTCAATCTTTCATTTTTTTTCTTTTGTCATTTTGCATGTTTCGTGGAATTGTTGATTGATGAAGCTTGGCAGCATGAATTTATATGGTTTTATATTTAATTATTCAGCTGTACACAAAGAAGATTCCCTCAGATTGTAGTGTGGACTTAAAGTCCATTGCCGCATCATGCAATGGATATGTTGGAGCTGATTTGGAGGCTTTATGTCGTGAAGCTACCTTGTTTGCAATTAAAAGGTTCTCTAATATAAATGAAGACACAAGTAATTTTAGTTTAACAACGGAAGATTGGAATTATGCAAGGTCTGTTGTTGGTCCAAGTGTAACACGAGGTGTTACTGTGGAAATCCCCAAAGTGACTTGGGAAGACATTGGAGGATTAAAAGAATTGAAGGTTTGTACATTTTACATTTAATTTTGCCTAGAATCTCATTAGTCAGTGATATTTGCATGTATCCCTGAACAGAAAAAGCTCCAGCAAGCAGTTGAATGGCCTATTAAGCATTCTGCTGCATTTTCAAGATTAGGAATACCTCCTGTACGTGGAATTCTTCTCCATGGACCTCCGGGATGTTCCAAAACTACCATTGCCAAAGCTGCTGCACATGCTGCTCAAGCTTCTTTCTTTTCCTTGAGGTTTGAATAATTTTATTTTTAAAGCTCTTAAGTAGGTTTTGTCCTTAAGTGAGAGAGTCTTAACATAATTAAGACAGAAGTTTATGGTTAAAATGGAATGAATCCTTTAATTTTCTTTAGGAAGGTGACAATCATTTGGGAGAGAAAGACACAGCCCCCTGAACTTGGACCCACTATTTTATTTCCTCATAAATTATTTGTATCTTTATCTGAATATGATGCTGTCCTTTCAATTTGAGTATCCAATTCATTCTATGATATGTGGCCTTTTGGTAAAAGAAAAAACGTACTAGTAGGATCGTATGTGCATGAACTTTTTGAAATCCAACAAAATAAGTTGTCTTTCATGAATGAGTTACTAACGTGACTCGATTATTGGTTGCTATTTTGAAACATGTTAGTTCAACTATTTCTCCTGCATCTTCTCCCACTTATTCTGTTGATAAATGACACGTGTGCTATTTTCTATATTGGTGATGTTATGCTTTGATATGTTTAATTTCTATTTTTGCAGTCCTTTAACATTATAATCTCTGTGATCATATTCTCTTTTTTTCTATTATATCTAATATTTTGCAATTCAGTAACTGATTTCCAAATTACGGAAAATTTAAAAGTAATAAATGATGAATCAGTGGTGCAGAACTGTATTCAATGTATGTTGGAGAGGGGGAAGCTTTGCTTCGTAAAACATTTCAGAAAGCGCGCCTTGCAGCACCGAGTATAATATTCTTTGATGAAGCTGATGTGGTAGCTGCCAAGCGGTTAGTTAACTTTCTTTGCTTAAGAGTTATATCATGAAAGATAGTGTGAAGCTTCATTGTGTTGTTTGTTCCAGGCCTCTTTGAGATAGTATTTCTTGATAAGTTTTCAAAGGAAAATATTTTCTGCACAAATATTTATATGCACCAAAGTGTGGTGGATCTCAATTATTTTTTATTAGTCTGGCATGTAACTATCTTAACTCTGTTTTTTGGTAAATTTTCTGTTTCAAATGTTTGGTGCATTGCATCTAAAGCCTACTATTGACTTCCTTGATGAAAATGTTCCACAGTTTTTGAGATGGAAACAATAATTTTTTCTCGTTTGTAGTGCATAAAATGGGATGTTCTGAGTTTTCCCTAAATTGCAGGGGTGATAGTTCAAGCAATAGTGCTACTGTTGGAGAGAGGCTTTTATCCACTCTGCTGACTGAGATTGATGGCTTAGAAGAAGCTAAAGTAAGTGTACCTTTGTCTTTGTTGTTTGTGTTAAGGACGACATTTTATCTTCCACCCTCCTTTTCTTTAGACATGAATTCTTCTTTTATCAAAAGGAAAAGGTAAACATAAAACTAGATTCCAGAGACTGGTAGACGGCATCTAGTTTCTTTCTGCCTTTTAACTATTTTTTTTCTTTTTCCTTCCAGGGAATTCTTGTTTTGGCGGCTACAAATCGCCCCTATGCAATTGATGCTGCACTTATGCGTCCTGGGCGTTTTGATCTGGTATGAAATATTAATTTCTACCATACTTGCAATTTAGTCTTCAACTAGAAGCACACTAGTTAAAAATATATACCGAGAATTATTCATGCATGGTGATACAAAGAATTTCATCAACCAGCCATATGTTGTTGAAAATATTCTCAAAACAGTTGACCCTAACAGCAGGTTGAAAGGGTTGGTTAAATTTTCCATCTCACTAGTCTATTTTTGTGGAATGGTAGGTTCTGTATGTGCCACCACCTGATTTGGAGGCTCGATATGAGATACTTTGTGTACATACTCGCAAAATAAAACTAGGTGGTGATGTTGATCTCAGAGGGCTAGCAGAAGATACAGAGCTCTTCACAGGTGCTGAACTGGAGGGATTATGCAAGGAAGCTGGAATTGTAGCTCTGAGGGAAGACATATCTGCTACTGTTGTTTGTGACCGTCATTTTCAGATATCAAAGAATTCCTTAAAACCACAATTAACAAAAGCGGAAATTGATTTATACTCATCTTTTATGAAGACCTCATCTAGACATAGCATTTGAGAGTGAAATTTTGAGAAGAGTAGCATTACGGTAGTAGGAATAGTAATAAACTTGATAAAACAGTAAATTGTACTGTCTCCACTAGTGAGTTTATTTTGTTCAAAAGGTATTATGGATGTGATTTTGTTTAATTGAGGTTCATATCTTCAAGTAATATCTTTGTATTTTTCACCATCTACGTGCACTATCTTGGTACTGTTCTCATTTTCCTTTCACGAGTATGCAAATCCCTCGTTCATAAAATGTTAAGATAAGCCTTTAAATATGATTTTAAGCATTAAAAGTGACAAGGTTTTATTAAGAACTAGTTCTGTACCCATGCTTTTGCACGGGATAGTAATTTTCACAACAATAAAAATGTACACGTTACACTATTAAGCGGTGGCATATTTCACAATGAGAACAATAATTTTCTTTTTCTGGTAAATATGCTATTTAATAGAAAATTTCTCCTGATTAACTATGTATATATATATATATTTTCCAATTTAATAATAGATTCAGAGTTTATAAAATAGAATGGACATGAGATAGTACAAAAGATCTGGATCATTTCCAGTTATGGTTACAACTGAATTATCGTAAAAATTGCTTAGATATTCGCTCAAGTGACGAGTGAGGAAATTATCCCGATCAAATCCACATCCACCACCATGCTGCTATGACTTTCATCACAGAAGCTTCGAGAAAACCAATGAGAACCCTTCTTCTTCTTGTAATCCTCCTCGGATAACGCCTTAATTAACTTGGATATTGACGTGAAGATTATTGGGTGGGACGCAATGATAAGGATCCAATGCAGCAAGAAGAAGCGTTCATGGAGTAGGATTTGGAATGAATGATTTGATGATCCAACAGGTGACACTGAAGAGCACATTGTCACTCTTCTTTCGTAATGACATTTCGTTTTTGGCTCGACCTGGTGAAGCTTCATTCAGTAGGATGTGCACTTGTAAACAATTTGGCAAAAATTAGAACAATGGAAAAGAAAAAAAAAATCACAATGTTGTCTTAATCTCCAATTGTCATCCTCTAAAGTTACACGTCACTTTTTTTTATATCCAAATTAGTGACTCATTTTTTGTAGATGCTACTCGAGTACTTTATCATGTGTTTTCATTTACTTACTTGCAACTCTTCATTGTATATAATAATGAACTGTAGATTGGATTAATTCTAGAATGTATGCACATTTTTAATTGTATAATAAATACTTTTTGAGGACATAATAAACGTAAATATCGCAGCAGAATCCTCCTAATATTTAAGTGATCTGTAAAAATAACACTTCTAATTAATTAATCTTAGAATGTATGTTCATTTTTATCTTTATAACTATTTTTCAATGTTAAAATAATTATTTGTATTATTAAAATAACATAACAATCCGTTCATCTTCGATGATTTATCGTGCAAATCTTCTTCAGGAGGTGATATTTTTAAATAATTCTTCAATAAGAACTAACTACATTTTACTTGATGTATTTTCAATTGTTGATCAACCATTAATACGTATATCAGTTTGAATAACAATATTCTTCTGTGTGTAACTCTTGTACACATAAAGAGTATTGCTCTTAAGAATGTATGTTCATTTTTATTTTTATAACTGTATTTCAATGTTAAGATATTGTTTGTATTACCAAAATGACATAAGGCTTGTGCTAACGTAGCTGGGTCTCCTGCTGTTATTGATGGAGTGGCTAAAAAGGCACCACCTCCCAAACAGTGGCAGAAGAAAGTCAATGTGAAACCAAAGCGAAAGCCTGATGAAGTCACACTCTTACTTATGTGCTTACAGGCAGAAGCAAGGTAGGTTTCGATAAAAATTAAATAGAAAAAAGTAAAAAAAAAAAATGCATGGCAAAAGTCTAAACCATGTGAGATAATATTTACAAAATGTTCTAATGATATTTTGTTGCAGGCAGCATGTGGTATAACTAACAAGCCTGAGCAGCATATTGTTGACATTTATACTGGTGATGTTGACAATGAACTTGCTGCTATTGAATATACAGAAGATATGTTCAAATTTTATAAATTGGTTGATGTATTGAACATGATTCCCTTCATGATAAGTAGTTAATGAATAACAATTTATATATCCATCCCATGCAATATTGTACATATTTAAGGTCTGAACAGTAAAATTTAGTGAGAACAAGAAGTTCTTTATTTTTTCAGATAAGTTTAAGCAACAAGTTTAGTTAGTAAGCTACTAAGCTAGTTCTTAGTTTTGGCCAGTTACATAGTTAAGCCATGACTTTGGATATTGGATTTTAGTTTGAGCAATAGAAATAGTTTGTTCAGTTATGTTGACTCTTTAATTTATGTGAATTAAGTGGATAGTACCAATGCAGCTTTATTTTTGTTAAAAATTGCTTAATTAAGATTTATTCAAGTTTGTTGTATCTGTCTTTTCACATTAACATGTAGTTTAATGTTGAGAATAATAATTTGTCCCACTTTTGAAAAATTTATTAGAATAAATTTTAACTGGTTTAAGCAATATAATTATCAACATTATGATAAATATTTACCTATGGTGTAGTCCCAGTGTTTGACAGAACCAACATATGCCCAGTTACCTGATGCACTTTGGCTCCATGTATATGTTCAGTAGAGATAGTAGGAATATGATGATGTTGCTCTTTACAGATGTGGTAGAATAACTTAGCTGCAGGTGCTTGAATCTCTACTTAGTCTCCACTTTCCCGCTTAGAGCCATGTCCCTCTATTGAAAAGTTGATAAGCTTAACACTCCTCCTTATTAAAAAATAAATAAATAAATATTATTTACACGCCTTTACGCTTAATTATAAATCATTGTCTTAAGCGTAGAATTTAAAAAATTGAATACCTCTAAACGACTAAATATTAAGATTGAATAGACTATATAATACTATAATATAAAAAATGAATTGAGTTTAATTGAACTTTAAATGCTAAATCAAGGTAAAATAGTATTCAAATCTCACAAAATGTTTTCTAATCATTCCTAACTAAGTTGAGACGTTTTAATAATAATAAAATTATAATTTTTATTGTGTTTTGTAAATCAAGAGAATATTTTATATTATTTTACACGTAGAATAATAATTATTATTAATTTTTTATTAATAAGTAGTAAAATTAGTAGTTTATTAGAAAAAGATGTATATATTATTTAATCTCTGCAGTATTAAAAAAATTATAACTATCAATTTAATGAGAGTATATAATTTTCTTTTTAATTTTTAAGTACTATAGCAACTAACTAATAAAATTTAATTCCTAGTGATTAGAATTTTTGGAGCACTGCAGTCAAACCTATCATGAAGATTTGGTGAATTAAACTTATTAATAAAAAAACAATATTAAAACATTAAGTTGAACATTTCCACACATATTATGTAACACACTAATTACATCGATAGGCGTCTCCAGGTTCAACCAGTAAGGGTAAAACCATATTCTTCATACATTGATTATTTAGAGACGAGCACTTAAGCTCAAGCCAAACCCTTTATTTATTTTTTATTTATTATTTTCTTCTCAACTTTTGGTGCATGCTATGCCTTGAGAAGATGTGCATCAATATCTTGAAAGACCTTGGTTATGTACTCCATGTAGCCATATGGAGGTTCAACATGCTCATTGATCTTTTCATATTCAAAAGTACCCTTTGCAAAAGCACCACCATCATTCTTTTCAATCACTTGAAAGATGAGCTTCAATATTTTATACTGATGACTGACATCTCCATCATAGAGGTTGTATGTAATTGACTTGTTTCTTTCATCAATGGCTTCAATGCTCTCTTTACATGTTGTTACCTTTCCATCTGTTATTCCACAAATAATAAGAATCAAAGCAAAATAATAGACCAATTCTAGTTACACATATATATTAGTTTTATTTGAAGCTATATAGCTAGCTTTGTTAAATTACCTATGACATAAGTCCATTGCTTAACTGAACCAATGGCATGCCAATCACCTTGATGCAACTTGGTTTGGTGCACTTTCTCAGTAATGTTTTGAATATGGTTAAGTTGTTTTGCGATGAAGTTGAAGAATTTAGCTGGAGGAGTTTGGATTCCAATTTCAGCACTTAATTTACCAGTGAGAGCCATGTCTTGTGAAAACAAACAAACAACACAAAGTAGAGAAAGAAACAAAACAAGGATGAGGATGGGAAGGATATTCAACCCTATTGGACCTTAAATAAGCAAATTGTTTGCCCACTATTATTATCAACTAAATTATTAAATCATAATAATCTAATTCATAACTTTTGGGTGTAATAAAATATGAACTAAATGTGATTTGCACGAAAATGACATGCATAGGAAAATTAATTCGTCAATATATTTGGCTAATAAACAATTAGACAAAACTAGTTGACTTATTCCATGCATCTGGTAATCCCTAGTTTGATGTAAGTACTCATTAACACTAATCATTAAATTTTGGGCAAAAAAATTGAAATGTAGATAATTTTTTTTTTTTTGAAAATTTTGAAGTAATTTATATTTAAAATTATCAAATAAAATCACGTAAGTTTTAATGAACTATTTTACATTTTTTAATTTCAAAAAATAAATCATTAAAGAATCTTATTATTTAATATTTTATAAAATATCTAAAAATCATTAAAATAACTGTTAAAAAAAACTATTTTGCCCAATTTTAATTAAGTGCTAAACACTGCCGTCATTATATATAAAGAACCGCTAAAAAAATTGCCATCTATTAATAAATAAAAATTCATAAGTGCTAGGATAATTTTTATTTTAAAAAAATATATTATTACTGTATATTAATATTTTATTTTTTGTATAATATATATCATTTTGTTAGTATAAATTCATAATATGTATATTAATAATTTAATATTTATTTAAAAATATTTACTAACAAAAACTAATTTAACTTTAAATTATTAATAAATGATAATTTTTTATAATAAATAAAATACTAATTAAATATAATAATTATTTTTTCTTCTCAGATTTTATTAATCCAAACAAATGAAGATAAAACTCATCATTTTTCGCATAATTGAAATAATTAAAAATTATACCTATTTTCTCATCTTTCTATCATCTTTTTACTTATTTTCTTTTCATATCGAAGCATCAGATCAGAGACCTGGATAACTGAAGCTGCAGAACACTGTAGGTTCCATTCAACAAATAAAAAGGGTACACCTTACACGCGAGATCACTGGATTCCTATATCACTTCCCACCTTAAAATAGACACCACAAATATGCAGAAGCGTAAACTAAATCAACAAGCAACTTCATTTTTTTTTAAAACCCCTATTTTTCAAACATTTTATACCTAATTTTATTTTTAATTATTATTATTATTGTATCTACTTTCTCAAAATATTTTAATCACCACAAATTAACAAGCTCATTTAACTTTAAAAAATTAATAATTAAATTGAATAAGATAAATTTTATATCTACCAAATTGCAGGTTCGAACTCTTGTTAATATCTTTGAGTTGAAGTAAATATAAATTCTCAACTTTCTTTAAAAAAAAAAATAGAATACTAACTCCTCCCTTCAAAAATTTTATAAAAAATAAAAATAAAAATAATTAAAATTTATTAATAATATTTTTTAAAAAATTTTATTTTTATTAATAGAAATTAGTTTAAGTGACATATAATTCAATATCACTTAAATAAAGTTTTAAATTTAAGTTCTTATAAATGTAAAAAAAAATTTGATTCACTCAGCTACATGACTTAAGTTAAATTTAGATTAAATTGAATAAAAAATTATTTTTATTATAATATTTGATTTAATATGCGTTTAATTTACTTTATTTTTAAGCAAAAAATATTATATTTTAAAATTTCAATGTTATGCACTTGTTTTTGTTAGTGCGTTGTCGATATTCTAGGTAAATCCTTCAGAATCGCTAAAACCGGAAATCTCGTGTCAACCGACAAACATGTTGTTAAGGTATGATTTGATCACTCGATTAATAGGTTGAGTGTTCCCCTACACACAAAATATATTATTTTTAAATTATATCAATTTAGATTATGCTAATTTTTATATTATTCAATATTTTTTATTAAATAACTTATTCCAAAAATTAAATATTGGATTTAATTTAATTTTTTATTATAAAAATCGTTTTATAAAACTTAATATTTTTAATTATATTTTTATAATAGTTTATTTTAATTCAATTTGTGAATCAATAAAATTATATTATGTTTAAAATTATTAATGATATAAGAATTAGTGTAAATTATAATCGATATAATTTAATTTCTTACATAAATTGTTTATGTAACTATTAAATTATAATTATATATTATTTTGATTATTTTTAACACCATGAATACACCCACAAACACATCTTCTACTGAAACTTCCTTTATTCTCGTAAACTCTCCTATCTCTTTACCCAAACCCAAAGACTGTATCAAAATTGTTTCTGATAAAATATTAATAATTATATCAATATAATGAAAATGTCTTATTCTTATATATTTAAAAATATAAATAATATTAATTTTTATGCACATAAATGAGATATCAAATGATTTTATTTAATCTAAAATTTTATAAACATAATTTATATAATAAAAATTGTTAATTTAAAAATTATATTCTGAATAGAATTATTCAATAAATAATTATTAAATAATATAAAAATTAATACAACTTACCTTAGTATAATTTCATTCTTATCACGTGTTATTTTCCTGTTGAATTTTCTTCTTGTATCATCACCGATCACTGTCGTGGGACATAAATAAAATTTAAAAAGATCGATGCAAGAATCATGTGAATATTGGTCTTGGAAGAGTAATGTTTGATATTTTTTACATAATTTAATATTATGCGTATCTAGATCACGAAACTTATTAACATTTACTACTTCAAGTTTCTTAATTTCATATAAATTTTCTACAGATGTAACTCTGTAAAAATATCGATTGAGATCATTTTTTCTAATAATAAATTCAGTGATATTTTATTATATATAACCGTTATAGTAGATTATTGTCAATTATTTTTCATTTCTGAGAATTATAAATCGATAGTTAGTGCTTTTTATAAAAATTTAAGCAAAAGATATAAATTGTATATCAAATAGTTTTATCTTTTTTTTTTTTCTATATTATATATATTCTTTGATAAATGTTTATGAATTTTGCATCTCTAGATCTTGGGTGCGTGAATTTTAGAGATTTGTTGTGTTAATATTAAGAAACAAACTACATAATTAATATTTATCATTGTTTTTTGTTAAACAAAATATACATTATTAGAGAGTTCAAGAAAAACTCAAAACCCGTATATACAGAGAAAAAAAATTAATACTTATTCAAAAAAATAAAAATTAGAATACTTATGTAAAATTAAGATAGAAACAATTTCGTGGGTTCAAATATTAATATGTTAACAGAATAGTTTTTCCTTTATTAACAAGTGATAGTCATTTCTAGAACCTCGTAATAATAGAATTTGTGACTTCCTTCTCATCTAAAACATCGTTGAAAAATACTATTTTATTTCTATGTAAGCATAAAGATCACACTGTACTTACCCAAATAATTAATAAACATATCCCTTCTCTTTTACTGCAACCAACGCAAACCCAAAAAAGCAAGTCAGTCAATAAATTTGAAGGCAAAACCAGTAAGAATCCAAGCTAACGCACCCTAAAATATCAGATTTGAGATGAAATTGAGCACGTTAAAAATAAATAAGTTGGAAGTTCTTCCAAATCATAATAGAAGTAACAAGTTATTTCATCAATTTGAACACTACGATCAATCAACAAACTTTTACAAGGAAGTACATTTAACAACAATTGTCAAGAAAATATTAGACATTTAAGAGGAATCTTCCCTTTCCATATTTTTTGCAAGGCGTCTATCGTACATTGATTTACACTATTATGACCACTAAAAAATTTAAATAGTTATGAATACTCAGATTACATTGAATAATAACCTGAAGAGTCTGTCTTCTATACCCATTTATCTTCTTGTTGCACCTTAATAGAAACTCCAGCGATAAGCTCCAACAAAAGATTAAAATTTGAAATTTCATGTTAATATTTATCTTTGATTTGTTGAAACTTGCTTTTAAGACAATGATTATATATGTTACGATTCAGTCACATTCTACTTTTTATTTATAACAAAATTATTTATTTTAAAATTTGTAATAAATTTTTCTGCAATTTCTTTCATAGTAAAAGCACACAACTTTTATAGCTATTGTTTTTCTTCTTCTTCTTTTATAAAAAATGATTTTAATTTTAAAATTTCTACAAAATTTTATGAGGACAATGTTATAGGCAACTATCTTACGGATAAATTTGCAGGTAATTTGTAAGAATGGCTACAAATAAACCATGAGGTGATTTATTTGCAATTGAATTTGCAACAAAATTTTACAAGTAAAATCACAAGAAAGGTTCTGTGTAGGTTTTCAGAACTAAATGAAAAATACATTTTTGTTGCCATATTTTGAAAATATTTGTAAGTATTCATAATTCTCAAATAAATCTCTAGTAAATGAAGTTGTAGAAAAATTTGCAAAAATTACCTATGAAGTTTCTCGCAATTTGTTTTATACTAGCTTATGTTCATGCAAACTTTAATTTCCACAAAAAATTCTTCTGAACAGTTCTACATGCAGGAAATTTCATAGAAAACATATAGAATGGGTCGACCAGCTGAAAACCAAATCCATCATATGATCAATTCGTTAGACTTTTAATAAGATATAATGCTAAAAATATTTAATCACACTAAATGGGCAAAAGCTTTTTATTGAAGCTACAATCAAGTAGAGTCTTATAAATATGGTATCTTTACCCTTTATATATAGAATTAATCGTCTATATATACACATGCATGATATATAGGTGACAGGATATAAAAATATCCCCTTAGGAAATGAAAGGATCGTCTCCATAATAAGTGCATTCGACATCTCAATATGTACTCAATACATTTACGATTGAGATACCCACTTTGGGGTTGCAAATTCACCAAAAATGTCTCGATGTATAGCTTGACACTTCCTCAACAACATAAAGCACCAAGTTAATTAGGGGTAAATTACTTTGGATAGTTTACCCATTAAAATTAATTTGATTGTGAATTCGATAAAATAAACTTCTAGCAAAGAAAGCTATAATTGATATCATGGGCATGTTCCAAGAATTAAAAATAGAGTTTAATTTTAATATATTCTTGACGTAAAAAATTTAATATTATCAATTGATTTAAAAACATCATAAATATAATTTTTGGATAGTTATTAAAAAACAATAATTTTTAATGATATATAATTCATAATTAAATAATAGTAAAAAAAACTTATACCCGTAAATACATTTGAATAATTAAATTCTTAAAAATATGTTTTCCTCTTTTATATTTATAACTCCCTTTTGCTGTTGTTGTATGCTATCACATGCGAGGAATATTATTTGGGAGAGACTTTTGGAGTTGCTTCAAAGTTATAAGTGTTATTATATTAGTCTTAAAAAAATCTAGGCAATTACATTAATTTTTTAAATATTTCATTTATTATTACTATAATAATTTTTTTATATTTGGCATAAAGAGGCATTGAAAGATTTGTTAATAATTTATTAAGAATAAAAAATATTATCAAAATATTTTTAAAAGATTTAATTACCATCAAACTGATTTTTAATATTTGTCACCACTGAAATCTCTTATAAAGATTGATTCAATAGTGATGATTTTTAAAAGATTAATATAGTGATTATTTAAATCTTTAAGATTGATTAATTTGATGACTTAAGTTATTAAAAAGTTAGTGTAATGATACTTGTAACTTTTAAAGAAATAAAATGAAAGTTTCCTTTATTATAGACCAGTACCATTATAATATCTTTATTTATTAGTTCAAAACAAACATTTTACGAACACATCAAAACTGAAAGCTACGACAAATGAACTACAGAAGGATTCGGTTGAGGCATGCATAATAGTACAATCACTACGTACTGCGATACTAACACAGGCATGGAAGACTGAGAAAACATATATACACCATTATATTATTACAGATTCAACACAACACAAGTTTACCACATGATCGATGCTTTAGATAAGCACTAAAACAAAAGTCAAACCCACTTCATCACCATCTTCTTCTTTTGTCAATCTTGTGCTACGCCTTGACAAGATGAGCATCAATATCTTTTGTGACCTTAATAGCAAAGTCCAAGTAGGAATCAGGAGATGAAGCTGTAATGTTCTCCCTCAGCTTTTCATATGCGATGGTCCATTTCACAAGCCCACCAATTTCCTTATCAATTGTTTGTAAAGTGACCTTGAAACTCTTATAACTCTCACTCACTTCCCCATCAAAGAGGCTGTATGTTATTGTCTTGTTATGGTCATCTATGGCTTCAATTTTCTCCTTGGCACTTGTTTTCTTTCCTTCTGCTCGGTTTCACAAGTATTTTGTCACATAAATTAAATTTATAACATCAACTTAATTACATGAGATGTAGTTAAGACATGTAATACGATGAGAAAGCGAAGGTTAGAAATACACTTTTAGTTTTCTAATATATTTTTTAACACATTTTTATAATTAATCAATTATTAAAGAATGATCAATTTACAAAACATTCACTTTAACTTTTAAAAATATTGGTCAAAACAGTATGTTAAAAAGTGAGTCAATATATTAGTATTTTTAATATAAGAAATGTTAGATATATTAATTTGTCTCATTTTTGCATAATTTATAAGAATAACTTTCAAGATCAATATAATTATCAACATTATGATATTAAATATTTACCTATGGTGTAGTCCCAGTGTTTGACAGAACCAACATTTTCCCAGTCACCCTGATGCACTTTGGCTCCATGTACATGTTCAGTAGAGATATTAGGAATATGATGAATTTGCTTTCTAAAGATGTGGTAGAACTTAGCTGCGGGTGCTTGAATCTCTATTTGAGTCTCCACTTTCCCGCTTAGAGCCATCTCTCGATCTACTCTCTAAACTAAAAATGCACAGAGATGAAAGAAGAACCCAGATGCCTTCAAAGGAAGGAAGGCATTTCCTTAAATAAGAGACTGTGGATTCACTAAAAAGAATATATTATTGGTTCAACACCACTAGTGGGTTTCAGATTATGTGCATTATTCACTAAAAAAATGAAAAAATAAAACAAGTTATTGATTGAAATATTCAAAATCTAATCTACTAATTTGACATCACTAGACACCTCCAAAGTTTGAAAAATTTTCAGTTCGTATTAAAATATGGAAAATGTTGCTATGCCAAATATTCGCTTACATAATATATTGATTCGACAATGTTTTTGGTGTGTCACGAGATGTATAATTTTTATGTGATAATGCTATGTATGTTCATATTAATATTTTATTAAAAATGTGATTAATATCTCAAGGATATAACACATATCTGATAATTTTTATTAATAAATAAAAGATTAATAAAAAATACATTACGAGTTTCATATTACGAAGAATAGAAAGTTCAATAAAATATTATTTAAGTTATGAGACTTTCTTTGTGTGCTTAAATTATAAAAACCAGCCCTTTCATTAAACACTAAGCTGCAAAAAATCTATTTACAAAATGAAGCTTATCGTTGACATTGGCTTGCAAAGGAAATGATAATATTATAAATTTCACATTAAATAAAATTAGAAGATGGCCTCTACCTGAAATAGATATACAGTATATATTAATAAAATAAATTAATTAAAATTATTCATTTTCCCATCGCTCAATATAAGTTGTCCCTTCATAGTATTATATTTGATTAGTACAGAATTGAATGATTCAATAACAACTCAACCTTACGTTTGTTTGAATAAGCAAAAAATAATAAAAATAATAATATAGCTAACGATACATTTTATTTAATTAAAAAATTAAATTTTAAAAATAAAAATTTAAAATTTTCTCTTTTCATAATTTGAATTTAACTTTTTCTGTCTCTTATTATTTTCTTTCCTCTAAAACAAACAGAATAAAAGCAAAGGTTTCGTTTGCTTTAGGGTCCCAACCAAGAAAACCTACTAATCATCTCGTTAAAAAAAAAATGAATGAAGTGGTTAACTATATATTATCAAATAAACAATGTTAAAAAATGACCTACAATCAACATTATCTTCACAAAAAATTAAATAAATTTGTTATATTATACGCTAACAAAGTAATATTATAAGATCGGGTCATGCTAGCCACGTTCTAAGGATACCGATTAAAGAAACAATGAGCATTAATCTTTTTTAAAAAATAACGTTAAAATACATTAAAAATTATATAGTGAATAAATATTTTATTTCATTTTTGCTTTTAAATGTTTTATTTCATTACTTGAATAGAAAACCAAAAACAGAACAAATTACCATTTTTATTTTATAATTTCCTTACATTAAAAATACTTATCTCTAATTTAATCTTTATACTTTAACATATTTATGTTTAACAAAGTGTGATTACTAAATAAGAAATAACTTGGAGCCAAAAAAAAAAAAAAAGTAACTATATGCGCACAAGTTAAATTAAAACCTTTCGTAAAAATAAAATAAGTAATACTATTTATATAATTCAAGAAACTATTTGATTTTTTTTTATACCACCTAACACAAACAAAATTATGATAGTGAAAGGATACTATTTTTCTGTGTCTATCTAATTAATTATTTTTTATTTTTTAATTTAAAAATATTTATAATACATAATGTACACATTTTATATTAACATTAATTTTCAATCCAAATATAATATAATTATATTTAGGCTTAAATATGGCACTCAATTCTAAATTAGCAAACAATATTAATCTAAGAATAAATATATTATTTACGTTTCACTAAAAGAAATATTATTTACGTAATAAACAGTACAAACTACAAAATCATTTCCATAAATTATATATGACAAGAATACCATTTTACATTATCATTTAGAAAAATTCTCAGCTGATGAAAAATTCAAAGAAGATAAATATATTATTTTGGAGAAATTATATCTATTAAAAATCCTTTCTATTAATTTGTATTATGTTTTATCCTTTTATTTTGCAATCGCTACAATGGACCTTATCACCTTAAACTCATTCTATTTACGCTCCTTCCCATCTGTAACTAGTATAAGTGGTAAGATTCATATTCATTAGAAACCAACAGAAATTGCATGTACAAGATGAGATGGAAGAAAGTCCAGCAAACAAGATGATCAACGTTTCTTTCCTGCTACAGCCAATACGTGTGCAAACATGTTACCCTCTCGAGGTGTTCATGAACACATGCAGCATTCAAACTTCTTGCTCATCTCCAATATATCCTCACTCATCGTGCCAATCCAACATGTTAATTTTTTTTTTCTATGCTACATACTGGAATCAAATTATTGTACACACTATTTTCTTTAATTTTAGTCGACCGTAGCACGGAATACTTTTAAACAGAGTTAAAATTAAAACTAAAGAAGAAATGAATAATATAGATTAAATTGTCAATTCATTTGGGAGCGGTTCTAATATCTGGATCGATATAATGGTTGAATATTTTATATTTGTCATCTTAGTACTAATTCTGAAGTTTGTTTTCAATATTGATGATAAGTGATAACAATAAATATCATGGATAAACCACATGTCATGCGCAGACGCTAACAATTGTTGTTTTAACTTTGGCTTTACAAAATCGGCATTGTCATTGTGAATAAGTATTTGGTTTTATGTATAGTGTCTTTGCAATCAAATAATTAACATAGGTTGTAGGTATTACATGTTGAGATTTATTAAGCAGAATCTACATCAATGATAAACTAGAATTTTAAAGAAAGTATGGAATTCAACTTTTAATCACACTATCTTATCAATTTCATAAATTTTCATTCATAGATATATTATTTTTCTAATTAATATTTTTCTGTGTTAACTTACATTATTTCTGAGTAATAATATACTAACTATACAAATACACAACTGGATGAAATTAAAGTGAAGTGGTCAGCATATCTGTTTGATAACTTCATTTGAAGAAATGAAGTTTATTGACTTTACTATATATCTGTATAAATTTCTTTAATAATATATTTTCTTTGATTTGGAGAACGGTATACAATCTGATATTATTATTTTTGTTGTATATATCTTAATTTAAATGTTACATATAAGGCATTGTGCTTCTTAATTAATTAGTTTGCATACTAGTTGAAAGTGTATCAATTAATCTATGTATCAAAAATTTTAATATATATAATTTTATTTAATTGATTAAATTTAATGTATATATATATATAAACAATTAGAGTTGGTAAGATTTATCTTAGTGAAGTTTGTTTGTAGGCAAATGTACTTATCAAAAAGTAATAAAGAGTTTTCAAATTAAGAGTTCTCAAGTTATTGTTTCACAAAGATTATTTTTAAATACTAAGAATAACTTAATTTGATTGTTTAAATGTAAAGTGACTTTAACAGATAAAAAACAGAGCTTAATTTTAACAATAAATTAAAAGATCAGTAATATAATATATAAAAGAGATCAGATGAGATGAGTCTAAAACTTATGAGTTTACCTACTATATTTCTTTATGTTCTAATTAATTTAATTCTATATTGGTATTCAAATATTTGTCAACTACTCATAATTAGTTCTATTAACACCAAATGATTATACAATATCAATATTCTTTTTCCTGAACAAACACCTCCAATGATCATGCAAGGTAATTGGTCGAGAAAGCATGAAAATCTTATGAGTTTGCTAATTCAATAACGGCTGAAAGAAAGGAATTAAATATGATTAATCTAGCCCCTTATCTCATTTTATCTTATAGTTCACTAATTACACGTGGTACGATCGCCTATAATGCAACCAACTATGGGATGCTAAGGGTGATCAAGTCTTAATATACACAAAATAATCCAACAGAATAAAAACCAAACATTAAAGGAAAACTAATATCAATATTAAAGTAAAAATTACACAAAATTTGCAGTAGGATCCCTCGTAGCCCTAGCTATGAGTTAAGTTACTCATAACAAAATAAATTACAAAGAATATGATAAATAATCCCACAATCACAACAAAAAAACTCAAACAAAAAAAATCCAGAAAGGTAAAAGACGAAGAGAGTTCTCGTTCTCTGAAGGGTGCTTAATGACTTGCTTTGACTTCAAGAGAAAGCTTGTTGTCTTTGCCAATGATATCTAATGACTCTCAAAAATGAGTTTGATTAGAATTAAGAGGGAGAAGAAGGTGTGTAGAGAAGTAGAAGTGTATCAAGTGTGGAGCATAAAGCTTATTTATATAGGTTGTGCCATGAGTTTTTAGTTAATTGAACTCTATCGTTTCAAATCAGTTTTATCCACGATCAAAATCGTTCCAAATCTTCATATCTAAGTTTAAATTTTAAATTCAAAATTTAAACTCAATTTCACATAACACTGTCAAGAGTTATAATAATTAAAGTGAGATAAATAAAGGAAAAAGATACACAAAGGGTTAACTTAATTAAAACAATCACAAATATCTCTTAAGTTTATAAATGAAGCTCTTGGAGTATTGATTTTTATATTTTTACTTTCTTTACTCCCTTTTTCTTTCATTCAAATGTAACCATTTTTTTCTTTTCTTTTTACTATTTTTTTTTTTTTTGTTTTACATAAGAGATATAGAGCAGAATTTTTTTAACAATCCAACAACTTAATTGCTCCATTTACAAACCTATAATTAACAAAATATTTCATAATTTTAATATGAAGTACCGAGAAAAATCAATAAAGTTCAAAGTGGGCAACTACTTGTATATCTTTCTCAAACATGTTGAAGGCAAAAAAAAATTAATTCTAATATGTCTCAATCATATTTAAAACATGCAATCAAAAGGAGTAGCTTTAAATTTGTTACAAGTCAAGTTTTAGAGTATAAATCTCAAGGGGACAATCACACAAAGTAATGAAGAAAGTGATACAATTAAAGTAGGATAAAAATAATGTAGAGCAAAAAGT